ATCTAGGCAGAGCCCAGAATAGACCTGAAGATGAGCTGTCGTTTTGCATTAAGGTCACTTGTGCTCTAAACTGTCCCGGACGTTTCTGTCCCATCTTTCAGGAGCAGCCTCTCGCGCCAACGCTGCTGCGCAGAGCATGGTGCCTCAGGTGCTGCACCGTGCCCGGGGGGAGCAAGGGCTGTGGGGGCTGCTTGTGGAGGCTTTTGTGGATTTAGAGACACCTTTCCAGTCTCGAACCGCCTGCAGAGTGCTCTTGATCAAGATACAAGATAAACCCCTTGTACATCTTGATAGCATTTACTCTCTCCAGAGCTGGTTTAGCAGATTAGATCAAGGTCAAATGCGATCATCTCTCTTCCACTAGCTCAGTGTCTCCAGATCGATGGGTTGTGGAGAGCAGGATGGATTTTGGCAGCTGGGGAGGGTCCTGCTCCTCCTGCCCAGGTCCCCAGGCGAGCAGTCTGGGGTGGTGGCGGGGAGTATGGGCATCCTGCAGCACTGGGTGACGTTAAACAGCCATTAAATGGTGCCCAGTCCCATGGTGGGAGTGGGCAGCAGAGCGTGAGAGCACCCCAGGCAGCCGTCCCGTGCTGACAACGCTTCCTTCCTGCTGTTACGCTAATAGTTTTGCTACTGCAGCTCGAAGTATATCAGCAGAATTGATGGTAAATCCCTGGTGGTTTCTGAACCACTCCGGTGTCATGGGGTGGGTGGGCTGCCTCACCGTGTGCCCAGGGGTGGGCAGAGGGGCTGCTGAGCCTCCAGCGAGGAGTTCGAGCCACGAGCTCCTGCACAGAAACGCCCTGAAGGTGCTCGGGCAATTTCAAGTCTCATCTCTCACCGTGATTACCCCGTAGCCCTTGGGGGTGGGAGAACTGCCTGCTGCATGCAGGCTGGTATCTTACCAAAGCCCACCTTCATCCTAATATCAAATACAGAAACCTACCGCACTCCTTCCACAAGGATGAGGATACTCAGTTCTGCTTCTCCTGCTCTTTGCTTTTCCCAAAGCCTGGCTCACCCTGGAGAGGCTGTAGGCAGGCGAGCCCACCTCTGCGGGCAGTGACACCCTCCCCGTGTGCCCCCCGGGAGGGAAGAGCTGGTGGTTCCCTTCCCGAGATGGGCACCAGCACGAGTGGGTGGAGGAAAGCCCAGCGAGCAGGGCAAGCAGCGGGAATGGGGCTGTGCTGGGACCACGGGGGGATGTGGGGCAAGCACCGAAGCCTGTGGGGTGGGAGTGGGGGGCCGGGCAGGGCTGGGGAGGCAGCAGGCAGGGCTGGCAGCATCTCGGGGATGTGCTGGAGCACGACGCCGGTTTGGGGGTGGCGATGCAATCTGGAGTTAAGATCGTTAGTCGCTTCTCTTTCTGGTAACGTGGAATATGCCCTTATTAATCACTGATGCCAGGGCCCCCCCTGTGCCTCCATCTCCCTGCTCCAGCCTGGCTGCGTTCTTCACTTCCCTGAAATACACATTTGCCCTTTACAAACTAAAGCATGTTAAGTATCTCATTACAGAATCGCTATACAGAGTGTTTTATTTCATGCTTTGTTAAGGACAGAATCATTTAAATGCATCCTGGCAAAGGATCTAATAAGAAATTAGTCAACTTTCTGAAAGCATAAAATATGGTTTAACGGCAACATCCGTTAAGAATTAGAGTTCTCGTGACAAATAACCTGGGGATGCTGTTTTGCTGTTTCTGGTAACACACACCAGCTTGAAGGACTCAGGTTCCCGTGGGAACAAGCTGACTGTCCCACCATGTCCCAGTAGCCAGTGAGACCTGTCCCTTCCCCTCACCTCCTGAGGCCGTGCCGCCTCCTCCTGTCTGGCAGCCCCATCTCCTCCACAACGGAGAAAACTGTTTTGCTGCAGAGCACTAAAACCGCTGAGCTGAGCTGTGGCCAGAGCAGTGGGAGTGGGAGAGCAGCCGCTGGCCGCAGGCTTGGGCTGGGAGAGGAAGCCTAAAACATCTGAGAGCCCTTCAAAAGTTGTCAGGGACGGAGAGTTGACAGTGGCACTGCCTTGGGGACTGATTCCCCCCCATCACCCCCCAGCAGGATGCCCGTGGACCCATGACAGGATGCCCACGGAGGCTAGGCTCAGCCCGGGGGCAGGATGGAGAGGGAAGCAGAGACACTCAGAAATGAGTGGAGGGTGTGGGGGCTCCCAGGCCCCCCCCCCCCCCCCCCCCCCCCCCCAGCAGCGTGCGTGGAGACACCGAGGCACCCAGCCTCGCTGGGGGAGATTATTCAGAGCTGACACAAGCTGGTGGTTGCAGACGATGTGTGTGAGATGTCTCCTAATGTGCTAAGGGAATCGGCTAATGAATTGGCTGAACCGCTGCTAATTAAGGAATTAATTTTTTAAGTCTTGGGAAGTACAACGGGAGACTCCAGGAAGCCCTTGGTACCTGAGACCAGCTTGCCTGCAGCCGGGGGGCTGGGAGCAGGGAGCAGTGGCTTGGGGATGTCCCGGGAGCCAGAGCCGAGGAGCAGTGCGGGGACTGGCAGCGCCCGCAAGGGCTCCCGGGGGTGGAGCAGAGGGAGCAGCTTGGAGACTGCCCTGGCACAGCACAGAGAGGAGAGGCAAGCTGGCCTGTGAGGGGAAGGCTCACTGCACAGACCTGGGCAAAAATACATCTCCAGCCTCCGACAAGCAGAGTTTGGAACCTCCATCCTTCAGGCTAACTCTCCCAGCCTTTGCCTTTCCCTGGCGTGTTCCCTTATCGTCTGTTCTTGCCAGAAACTGCTTCGATTTTCCGGAAGATGGAGTGAAGTCAACTTTCAGCGGGCTGCTTGTGCCCGTCCCTCCTGCCCCGCATGGGTCCCCCGATGTGTCCCCCGAGGGTGACACCGAGCTGATTTTCCTGCAGAGCGACCGTTTGGAGCAGTGATCGCTGCTTATCCCTGCACAAGCTGCGGCAAGAAAAATAACTGCTCGGCTATAAAGGGAGATGGTTGGGGCATTCATGGCCAGACTCTGCTACCCCATTGCCACTGTGGGTTCCTTTTCTCCCTGGCAATTGTGGAGGTGACAGTGCCGGGGTCCCTGGTCCACCTAGGTGGGTGTTGTCACCTTATGGTGTACGAGCCCGAGTCCTGTAAAGCCGCACACCCAACTAATGCAGGGGCCGAGCGTTAACGCACACCAAGTCAGCTCGGAGTGAGTGCGCGCCTCTGCAGAAAGCAGAGCGGGTACCCGAGTGTTTGCAGGATCAGCACTGAAGCGCGGCACGAGAGGGAAAAACTGTTTGGCACGAACACGCCGGGGGAGCCGCAGCGGGGCCGGGGATCGTGAGCAGCAGAAAAGCAGCCACGCTCTGCAGCATCACTGCCGGCGGTGGGTTTAAGGTCCCCGCTCTGTCCTCCCTGCAAAATCCTCGGGCAGGGTAAGGGGGAGCGTGGCTGAGAGCGGCGTTGGGGTGCCCACGCCGGGCAGGGGGGAGCAAAGCTGGGCAAGCTCATCCGTGCTCGCCTGCTTCCCCATCCTCCGCCCAGTTCTGCCCCGGCGCTCACGCAATAATCTGAGATGAATTTAGGATTCTGTGCTTCGGGCTGAGGAGCTGAGGCAGCCGGTGCCAGCGGAGCCCTGGTAAAGCCGCTGCTGTGGCAGGCTGCACCGCGGCGTGCCCAGCACGGCGCTCGCCGGCTGCGCGGCGGCAAAACCAGTGCTAAGGCATCAGAAGCAGAAGTTGAAAGGCATTAAAATCACAGGGTGATGTAAACAGTGGTTGGACTCTGGGGGAACTGTACTCCCCCGCAGCAATCACCTGGCAGTGGCCCCATGTGTCAGGTTTCCCATCCAAAAGCTCCTTTCTTCCCTTTCATTCCGGTCCTACCTTAATTAGTAGAACTTGAAACGCAGAAAATAAATTAAATTTAACACAAGCATTGTGCTTTTGTTTGAAGTAGCTGCAAAACTAGTTGGAATGAAGTGCCCAGGGTGTGCCAGAGGTTTATTGTGCTTTGCTGGAGTCTGCTTGAGAAAGAAACCCCCCGCTGCCGCTCCAGCCCCCCATTTTGTGGGCATCTCACAGCAGCTCGGGCCCCTTTTCGGAGCAGGTCGGTGCTTCTGTTTGCTGTCGTGAAGAAAAGCATGTGCCCGGGCAGTCCCGGGCCAGCAGCGGGGCTGAGGGCTTGCAGACCCCCATGCCGAGGGCAGAGACCCTGCGTTTCGGGGACTCGGGCTCCAAACCCTCCCAGGGGAGCTGAGGGGGCTGGAATTATGGTCTTTAAGTACCGTGCATTAAAAGCCTTCCCTGGCAACTGCTGTTTCCATGGAAAATGTTGACTCTCTTGCCTCTCCGAGCTTTCTGCGGCGTTTCGCAGAGCCGCAGCGCTGCTTCCAGCTTATTTTACACCGCAGCCCAGCCAGACCCACTGGTGGTGAATAAATCAGTATTTCCTGCAATTAAACTCCCTGGCCGAAGTGCTGGTGGTGTGGCTTTGATTACTCTTTTTTGCCCCGCGCATTGCGTTGCCCAACACAAAAGGTTGGTGGCTGCCTGAGGAGAGACTTTGCAGAAGCGGGTGGTGTTGTGCCGCGGGAGGCTGGAGGAAGCCGGTTAATCGGCGTCTGTTCCCTGCCAGGCACCAGAGTGGGGAAGACAATGGAAAGAGCCGCGGCCTAATCACGCGCTTTGAAATAGCCGTGTTTGCTGATGACAATTGCAAAAATAAAGGCTTTTCAGAGGCCGAGCCAGAGCAACAAACTCAGCAGGAGCGAGTGAACCTCCCTGAACAAGTGACCTCTAGATAAAGAGACCAAATAGCAGCTCTGAAACAGCGAGATAAGGCCACCGAGTTTCAGCAGAAACCCAACTTTCAGGGAATCGGTGCAGGCTCATTATTGCTTTCCCATAATGAGCCCGTTTGGGAGAGCGGCAGGCGTTCAATCAGCCGCAGCTCCCCGGGGGGCTGATTTTGTACCACCAGCACAGCTATAATTTCATGCCCAGAATCACCCGAGTCTCACTTTTCCCTGTTTTTTTGCAGACAGCGGATCAGGGACAGCGCTGGTCCCCGCCAGCCCGGACCCTCTGGCTGCAGATGAGCTGGTGGACAAGGCGGTTGGCGGAGCCGGGGAGCTCGGGCACGTCACTGCCCTCAACCTGCTGCCGGCCGCAGAGGACAGCACCGAGCCGGCGGCGGAGGAGACGACGCTGCTGGTGCAGAGCCACGTCGTGCCAGTGTCCACCGCCGCCCCCGACACTGATGCAAAACAAACTTTCCCTGTTAAGAAAAAGCCACCTACTCTAAAGCAAGTAAATACGGCAAGGAAGCACCCGAGGCCCAAGCCCACCCTGCCAGGGGCCCCCCGGGCTGCTTCCCCCGCCAGCCCGCTGGGCTCCGGGCTCCCCACCGCCTCCCAGGAGCCGCGCACGCCGGCAGAGGCAGCAGCTGGGGTGGGGGGTGTGGAGCAGAGCCCCCCCGAGCTGCCCTGGGGGGGCTGGGCCACCACCAGCCGCCCCGTGCTGCAGATCTCCCCGTCCACCCTGCCGCTGGCGGCCCCTCGGCCCTTCCCGGGTACCACGGGCGATGCCAGCGAAGCTCCGACCGCGGCTCCCACCGGCGTCGCCGTTAACCGGACGAGCGGCACGGGGAGAGAGGCGCCCGGCTCCGAGGCGGAAGAGAGCCAAGAAACCACCACGTCCACCATCATCACCACCACCGTCATAACCACGGAGCCCGCGCCGGGTAAGCCGCACGCGGGGCCGGGGAGCACGGGCGTGGGGGTCCACGGGCACGCATGGGGAGCAGCTCTGCACCCCCCGGGGTCGTAGGGCTGCCTAAAACCTTTTGCAGTTCAGTGGCGTTCGGCTGCTGGAGCAGGGGCCAGGGTGCTGGGGTTCAGGGCAGCGGGACACCCCCGGGGAGTGGGAGGGAGCTGAGCCGTTCCCCTGGGGCAGTCGCTGACAGAGCGTCCCCCCCCCTCCCAGTCCTCTGCAGCATGAGCTTCCACGACCCCGAGGGCTACATCGACTCCACAGACTACCCCCCGCTGCCCCTGCACAGCTACCTGGAGTGCACCTACAACGTCACCGTCTACACCGGCTACGGCGTCGAGCTCCAGGTGAGAAGCACATCCGGGGCTGGGGGGGGGGAGGGAATCACCGTGGCCTGACCCCCCTGCTCAGCAGCAGCAAATGATCCAAAGCACCCACAGCCTTGCGCACGGCTGCCCCGGGCACCTGCACTTGCAAAAACACCCCTTCCCAGGGAAAAAAAAAAAAAAACTAGATTTTTCTTAGGCTGTGTAATAAATGAACTGTATGAAGGAACTGGTACATCCTGAACGTCACCAGGGATCAAAGCATTGAAGTGCCATGCAATTAATTTAACAACGAGGCACTGGCAGGCAATTTGCAAAATACAGGCACTCAGCCTTTGTGGGAAGGGGTGAAGCAGCAGCTCCTCCGCCAGCCGGGAGGTGTGTGGGCAGCCCCGGGGTGCCAGGGTGGGCAGCACAAACCCCCCTCTCTAGCTGCCGCTGGTTTTGATGAACGGCTCCTCCGCCGAAGCAGGGCCACGTGCCTGACAACTGAAGGATAAAAACCGCGCGGACAAGCAGGCGTTATGCAGCAAAGCCCGGCAGCAGCAGGGCTGCGCGCTGCAGCAGAGCCAGGGCTGAGTTTCTGCAGGAAGGCGCCTGTAAATGCTGTGAGGTGGCACGCAGGGGAGCACGGGGCAGCGGGCACCGCCGGCAAACCGTTCCGAGGGTCTGGCGCAGGCAGACGTGTTCCATCAGCTCTCCCCGAACCGCCGCGTCCCGCAGCCTGGCGAGGCTGGGAGCGGGGCTGGGGCCTCGGCACGTTTCATCCATCCACCGTCTCCACGCTCCGGTGTGCAATCTTTTCTTGTTTTTGCGTTTTCCCCGTGTCACCATTGGCATCCAATTAAAATCCATTAACTGTTAATCCAGGCAATTTAGAATGTGCATTAAAAGGAGTAGTAGCTCCAGCGAGCTTGTCCCTGCCGTCCCTCCGGCGGGCACGAGGGGCTGACCTCTGGCATGATGTGGAAGCGAGCCCCGGTGCCGGCAGAGCAGGGCAGCGGCGCGAGGGCGAGCTCTGGGCTGTGTGCCCATCTCAGACACATTTCCGTGGCAGTAACTGTCTCCCCAAATCCGCGGGGTGCTACAGACAGGCTGCTCTGCTGTAAATTTGCCTCCGTCCATAATCCATCAGGTGACACCACTCCTGACCTCACTCCATTCTAAACTGAGATTTTAACGGAGCATAAAATTAGCCTCTCCACAACCCACCCCCCCCCCCGCCCCGAGCTTTGCATTTCGCATTGCTGATGCTTCTGAGTATTTCAGACAAATTAAATCACAACAGCAGGTCTGTGCTGGCTGAGTATGGCCTCGTCTGGAGCTGGCCGAGCACGCACTGCGCAGCTCGTCCAGCAGCGGCTCCTGGGGTGCCCGAAATGCCCGCAGGCAGCCGGGCAGGGCTGAGCCACCCCGGCTGGATGGGCACCGCTGGGAGCTGGAGGAGGATGGGCCCTGGGGTGCTGAGCTCCAGCCCAGGGCGGGCAGCAGCTCAGCAGAGATTCCCAAGGAGGGGAGGGGGCTGCCAGTCCCTGCCCGGCCACCCCAGGGCCCCTCCAGAGGGGACTGATGCGCTCCAGGCAGGCAGCGAGCTCTACAGACGGCTTTTTAACCATTTAGGCAGCAGCAGCAACATGATTTACGTCCCAAGGAAGCTAGAAATCGCATTCATGGCAAGCAAGACAACAGATTTATCCCCTCTCTTTACTTTGCACAAAGAACGGCAGCCACGGTATGTGCTGACGGAGGAGGCAGGCAGCGCGGTACAGGAACATTGTGTTTGCATGCAAACCTGATTTTAAAACAAGTCCGCCCTGGGTGTCATCCCTGACCAGTGGGGCTGGTGCAGAAGGCTCTGGTCCCACAGCTGTGGCACAGCACAGCAGAAGGGCCAGTAAACGTGGGGTCTGGGCTATCTCAAGCCCTTGCCTCCCCACCCAGGTGCCAGGACCCACAGCAGTCCACAGGCAAAGTGTAGGGCGCTGGGGACCATCCCAGCACTGTGCCTCAGTTTCCCCACTTGTAAACCAAGACCCATAGCCTCATTCCATGCTGCTCTCCAGCTTGTACTGTGGGGAGTAATTAGCACAGCCAGGCTGGAAGGTGGCTGTCCTAATTCTGTATTATTTCCTACCAGAAGGGCTGGGGCTGGCGGTGGCGGGGAGGACCGGTGACTGCAGGGATGGCTCACAGCCCCGGGAAGCAGAGGACGGGGTGCACCAGGTGGCCCAGGCGACTGGTGGGTCCCGGGTACCCCAGCTCCTCCCCCCTGTGTCAGCCTGGCTGGGGCAATGCGAATCCCTGAGCAGGGTGGGATGGCTGTTACGCCCTCACCACCCCCCCTCCCCTTGTTTTGCCTGGCGCTGATGGACTCTCTTCCATGGCTTTTTAATTATTACCCATGTACAAGTGCTGTGAGCTTCAGTGGCTCCGAGGCTAATTACATCGGGCAGGTGCTAGAGTAACGCAGTGCAACTTCCTCAGCTGCCTCACCGTGATGTGGGTAATTGGTTAACATTTAAGTGATTTGGATTTAATTCACAGCTCCTGTAATGGAGACGGGCAGGGGAGACTTTGCTGGGTGAGGAGTGGGGTCGAGTGCTCCTGCCAGGATGGTGTGATGCAGAAGTGACTCACGGGGGATTCCTTTTTTTTGTGGAGGTGTGCTGGGGCTGGGCTGGGAGCTCCAGAGGCCAGATCTGGGGTGCTGGTTTGGGAGAAGGCAGGCTGGGGAGCAGAGCTGCGGAGGTGCTGCTTTGCTCTGCCGGGGGGGTGGCCTGGGGAGTTGGGTTGGATGGGCTCTGCGTGGAGCCTTGGGCTTGTGCTTTCCCTTGTCATGAGTGGTGCACGGCCTCAGCAGGTCCTGCTGGAGGCTGGGCATGAGGATGACCTGGAGAGCATGGAGGAAGGTTTCCCCCAGGATTCAGCATGGGGAGCATGAGCTGATCAACTGATGGTGAAGCGCTGCCTCTTACCTCTGTGAACCTTTTTAAAGGCATCTGCAGGAGAAAAGAGAAGCCCCTGGGATAGAAAGGTGCTGGCCCTGCTTGGGGTGGGGTGGGGGTCAACTCTCTGTGCAGGGACCATGGGGAGAGCTCGGTAGTGGCAGGAATGACTGTGGTACTGCAGCCCTGCCCTGAAACAGAGATGGGGAGCGCAGAGCCCCAGGGCTGCTCCTGCAGGCACTTGGAGCCGTTTGACCCTCCGGTTCCTCCCCCTTGCACCCTTTGGAGTCAGACCCTCGCTCGCTGCAGGGGAAAATCTGCCTTTGGCGAGGAGCGGGCACAAAGCCTGGATGTCAGGCGTGGTCTTGGGAAAGGCTACCTGCAAACCTGCCCGGTGCTGGGCCGCATGAGAGCTCAGGGTCCCTGCTCAGCTCGCTGCTGGCAGCCCCCCGCGTCTTTTGCAGCATCCCGGAGAGAGCTGTGCCTCAGCCTGCCTGCCCCCGCGCCAGCCGGGTCGCTCCATCGCAGCCCTGGGAGCTGCGGAGCAGCCATTCTCCGAATGCTTAGTTAAATTATATTTATTTTTAAAATTCTTGAATCTTCTTGGCAGGAAATAGAATTTCCCTAAAGAGATTTTTCTAGTGGGTGAGCAAGGCTGGCAGTCTGAATCAAGGATCCCTCCTGTCTTCCCAACAGGCTCTTTAGGAGCTGACATTGGTGCAGGCTTTGATTAAAGCAAGAACTTGTCCTCCCCAGCCCCTGGCAGGAGCTCGCACATATGGTCCCTCTCGCAGCGGCTGACGGTCCCTGGCATGAGGCCACTGCATCCGTCTGTACCCACCGGTTACTCCAGAGCGGACGGGTCCCCTGAGGATGTCTGCCTACCCGGCACCGGGAACGGCGGGTCCTTCCCTGCTCCAGGCTCCTCTGGGCCTGTGTTTACAGGAGGGGGGAGGCTGCCGGCGGAGCCGAGGGGGTGCCCCCCCACCCCAGGGCACCCCACAAAGGGCCGGGGAGATGCCGCAGCGTTCACCAGCTGCTTCTGCAGAACTCTGCCTGCTCGAGCTGCTCCTCGGAAACCCCTTCCCAGCAGCAGAGCCAGGGGGGAGAGCAGAGCAGTTCGGCTGCATCAGCTGCTCAGCTGGCACCCCAGAACATTTCTCTTTCTAATTTGCCAGAGTGATTCGGTGCTAGATAGCGTGCTTGATGCTAGTCATCGCTGGAGGAAGCTAGCTGGGGAGCAGGTCTGTCTTTGAGTGATTTCAGAACAAAAATGTGTTAGAAACACCCTGAAAACATCTTTGCAGTGATTCAGCCCCCCTCGGGAAGCAAAGCTCCGTCCCAGCGGGAGCTGGAGGGAAATTGTCAGTGTTGTATGTAGCCCACTTAGCATCCCTGGGTCTCATCCTCCAAATAATTCATCCCCAATACCATTTAATTCATTCCATTTATTAGTAATTAGATCTGAGCCATCCCACTAGATGTGATGTGAGCACGCTGTGCTGGGAGGCACGTTTTCAGGACAAACCCTGGAGAAAAAGTGACTCGGGGCAGGTTGGGGCCTGGGACAATCACTTGGCCCGTGTTTCTGACACACAGCACCCATGAGGACTGAGGGCTGCTTCTCCCTGTGGTGAGGACCAGAGACTCTGCAGTGACCCAGCACCCTGCTGCAAATTAAGGCAAAATCAGCTCCTCCAGGGTTAAAAGCGTGGGCTGGGGTGAACACAGGCGTGCTCTGACCCAGCCTGGGGGATGCTCAGCCCGTTCCCGCAGTGAGGACTGGGCTTCTCCAGGCACTGTTCAGGACTTACGGACCTTCGGGGCAGGCAGGGAGTTACTCAATGGCGTTGGAGTCATTTCTCCTGGAGAAATCTCCCTTCTTCCAGCAGAAGGTCAGAGGATGCCCAGTGCTGCGGGTGGCTTTGAGCACAGTGCCAGTGGCCCTGGGTGCCGGGCACATCCCCGCCTCGTGTGCCGGGTGGGGGAGACAGGCACGGTTGTGACAACAGCAACAAATCCTTCTAGTCACAACATCGTCGGGAGCTCTCGCAATTACGGGCTAAGGCTGTGGTGTGTGCTAAATATAGAGCCCTGGTCCTCGCACACTTAAGGAAACAAATGATCTGATGAGCATCTTTCTGCTGAAATATGAGCCCATTTATTAAGCTAAATGGACGTGAAATGCAAATGTGAGGTTACTTTTCAGCTATTTCCAAATAATAATTAAAGCCTTTTGGGACTACTCATTAGTCGTGTTCGCCGTGTGACTCCCCATCCTCTCCCCGGTGCGGGTGAGGGGTCCTGGGGAGTATCCCTGGTGCAGGGGGTGGATGGTGAGCACCGAGCCCTACAGAAGTACCCTGGTTCGGTTGCAGACCTGTGCCTGGGACCGGTGACCCCAGGCCATGGCTGTGCTCCATGCCATGGTGCCCTGGGGCACTGGTGTGCTCCTGGGGCTGATGTGGGTAAACTGGGACCCCACTGGTGACTCATGTTATACCCCCCCACACCACCACCTTCCTCCTGTCTAACCGTCACCGCCTCCACCCGCCTGCCCAAATCCCCGCTTTCAGCAGGGAAGTAGATGTGGGTCAACTTGTGCCCCACGGAAGCATCCAGGTTTGAAACGCCTCTGAAGGGAGCGGCTCTAGCTGCCTGTGCCCGCTGCCCCGGGGGAGGGAGAAGGGGTCAGCGCTCATGGGGGGGCCCCCCCCTTGGGCTTGCGTGGGGTCCAGGCTGCTCCATCGCTGCTGAAGGAGCAGGTCCTGCCCCCAGTGAGCTGCTAGAGCAGCTCAGAGCGAAGGCAGTGGTGGTGCAGTGCTCTGGGATGTGCCTGCTCGCCTGGCACCCCGCCGGGACCCCCACCTTCACCCCCACTGCTCGGGGGTCTCTGCTCACCCTCCTCCAACCCCCAGGTGAAGAGCGTGAACCTGTCTGACGGGGAGGTGCTCTCCATCCGCGGCGTGGACGGCGATACCCTCGTGGTGCTGGCCAACCAGACCTTGCTGGTGGAGGGGCAGGTGATCCGCAGCCCCACCAACACCATCTCCGTCTACTTCCGCACCTTCCAGGACGAGGTGGTGGGGACCTTCCAACTCCACTACCAGGGTGGGTGCTTCCCCGACGTGGGCGCGCGAGTAGGGGTGGGACGGGGTGTCAGTCCCGTGGGGCTCAGCCCCGGCGGGCTGTGGGGGTGGAAGGGTGCCGGCGCCCGTTTCACAGCGTGCCGGTGCTCAGAGCGTCAGCTGGGAGGGGGGGCGAGCAGCAGCTCGTGTCGTGCCCCGGGCAGAGGGTTCAACGGGCCCCCCGACATCCCCAGCTCCAGCACTGTGCTCCTCACACCCGCCTTGCCCCGTTTGTGTCCCCGTGCAGCAGCTCCTCCTGCGTACTCAGCCTGCGAGTCTATTTTTTCCTTGAAGAGCTATAAAAAATAGATGAGTTCAAGCAAATTCTTTTTTAAAATAGAAACTAGGTCTAGGCAAAAGCAGTAACAGGTGGAGAAGCAGCAGCGTGGTGGTTTGTCGGCACCCGGCAGCGGGGTCTGTCCGTGGCACTGTGGGCACATTCAGCACATCCTCAGCACTCCCCCCTCGACTGCGGGGTGACTTGGAGCAAACAATCCCTGAGCTCAGAAATGTGCGTGCTTATTCCAGTGTTTATGCTGAGCTGCAACTTTCCACGGAGACCTGACTTCGGAGATGTCACCGTGATGGATTTGCACTCCGGTGGAATTGCTCATTTTCACTGTCACCTGGGCTACGAGCTGCAGGGCCCCAGGGTGCTTACGTGCATCAATGCATCGAGGCCGCACTGGAGCAGCCCAGAGCCGATCTGCTCAGGTACGCTCCTCGTTAGTTAGCCTCGGTGCTCAGAAAAACTAGGAATCCCCCAAAGGAAAAAAAAAAAAAAAATCAGAGTGGCTTGCTCTGCGCTGTGAGTTGAAGGCGGTCCTGGGAGCGTGTGAAAGCAACGCCCGGCTCTGCGCACAGGGCAGCCCGAGGTACCGCGGGTTTTCACATCAGTGGCAGCAGAATCTGCCTCCTGATGAGGCGGGTAAGGAAAGGAAATCACAGATTTGATGCGCATGTGTGAGCGGTGTGTGGGTATGCATAAAACAAAGCAGAGCCACGCCAGGCCAGAGGTTCGCGAATGACAGACTGGTGAGAAAAGCCGGGCGGGCACCGGCTCTCTGTGCCTCATCCCCGGGGGCTGTGCAGGAGCCCCGGGTGCGAGTGCCGGCCGGTGCGCTTTGCCTTGCCGTCTCAGCGGGGCTGTGCTCTGTGCCGGCAGCGCCCTGCGGCGGGACGGTCCACAATGCCACCATCGGCCGCGTCCTCTCGCCCAGCACCACCGGCAACCAGTCGAGCGGCATGTACTGCGTGTGGGCGATCGGGGCCCCCCCGGGCCAGAAGCTCCACCTACACTTCGAGAAGCTCCTGCTGACCGAGAAGGACAGGTAAGGCTCTGGGAGCTGCTGGCCAGCACCGAGGTCCACGGTGAGCCCATTTCCCCGCACCGCCGGGACTGTGGAGAGATTTGCTCTGCCCAGAGTGAGGAGCGGGGAGCTTTGTGGGCATTAAAATATTATCAGAGCTTGGAAGGTCCTAGCTGGTCTCTGCCTAGTACCTCCTGCCCTCCCAGCACCCGGGCTGCGGGTGTCTCGGCAGGCAGCACCGACCCGGGCGCGGGGTGCAGGCTGCCAGGCAGAGAGGATGGTGGGGATGGCGTCAGAGAAGGGTCCTGGTGCAGAAGATTTGGTTCCTGATATAGCTGTTCAAGCGCTCAGCAGGCAAGATGGGTCTCGGAGCAAAAAGAGCTGCGAGAGGCAGGCGCAGAGCGCCAGCTCCTGCTCTCCCGCTTCATGCCAGTGGCATTTTGCCGGTCTCCCCGCTGCGGGGTGATGCGGTGTGCTGTGTCACGCCTGTCCCCTCCTCCCGCCCGGTACCCAGTGCCCAGCGCTGCTCATCGCCACGGCGCAAGAAGCTGCAAGTGCCACGCTCTCAGCATCTCTAACACAAAGCACGCGCTTATGGTGCTGATGCTTGTGTTTAAACAGCATTAACATTCAGGCTGGAAACAGGCAGTAAAGCGGGTTTATGACTTGTGGTAAAATCAAAGAATAAAGCCCCTGTTTATGACACAGTAAAAGAGACTTATCAGGTTAGTGAATTCTTGTTTGCGCAATTTCTTTAAAATGCCATATTCTGGATCACCAGAGAGTGGGTGAAGGTGAGGAGGGGGTCCGGGCGATGCTTCGGGGGGGGGGTGTGGGGACACTTCTCCCACGTAACGTGCCGTGTCCTCCCGTGCAGGATGGTGGTGTACAGCGGGGACACAAACCAGTCCGCTGTCCTCTACGACTCGCTGCGTGCCGACAGCGTGCCCTTCGAAGGGGTCATCAGCGACGGCTCCTCCATCAGGATCGACTTCCTCGCAGAGGAGCCCGCGGCCGCCACGGCTTTCAACATACGCTTCGAAGGTGATGGGCTCTCCTTTCAGTACCCCTGGGAGCAGCCGGCCTCAGCCAACACTCCCGGGCCTCGGGGTGTTCGGGCTATTAGCAGAGGGACAGCCGTAGGAAGGGTCTCAGCTGCCTCCAGCACCAGCAGACCCATTGCTCCACTGTCCCCGCATCGCTCTAGGCATGAAAGCAACCCAACCCTCACCTGGGGCTGGAGTAGCTTAGCCTAGTGAGAAACAGGAAAATAAATAGTTAAATGTCGTTTATTCCAACAGGAAGGTTCTTTGGTGAGCTGAGTGTCCATGGGACACGGCTCCTGTGCTTGCCATGGGGCAGTGGGTGCCCGTGGCCAGGGTGGGGCCGCTCCAAACCCGGGCTGAAAAGGCCATCCGTGCTGTGGGAATCCCACAGCCTGCGGTGACCGTCACCGCTGAAGGCCCAGGCTGTTCCCGTAGCACGGCACCGATGGGTACGGAGCCCTCGCTGCTCACCAGGCTGCCTTCCGCCGGGGAGCAGCCGGGATGGCACGCTGGGCAAGCCCCGGGCAGCTCATGCTGGTTTGCTCCAGTTTAACATTGAAGTGGGTCCTGCTGCTGGGATCAGTCCCGCGGGAGCCCCACGCCTCTGAGCAAGCTCAATAATGAGCAGTAATCCCAGGGGAGATTGCTCAGCAAATACAGCAACCGGCAACACAGCGAGTGTGTTACTGATGCTGATACACAAAGGAAGTGGGGTTTAGTTAAACCTGCGTGGCTCAGGGCAGATAAACTGCTGTTAATCCTAATTGCCTGTAAAATACACCATGGAAGAGGCTATCTGTGCATGGTGGGGATGGAGAGATGGGTTTCTAGCTGGGGATGGCAGCTCATCTAGCAAAGCCCCGGAGCTGAGGCTGAGAGGAGCAGGGGGAGGCAGCGCTCCCCCCAGCCAGCGCCGTGCCCCTGAGGGGCTAACGGGGGGGGGGGCGTTTCTCTTCCAGCCTTCGAGCGGGGCCACTGCTACGAGCCCTACATCCAGAACGGGAACTTCACCACCTCTGACCCCACCTACAACCTGGGCACCACGGTGGAGTTCACGTGTGACCCCGGGCACTCCCTGGAGCAGGGCCCCGCCGTCATCGAGTGCGTCAACATGCGGGACCCGTACTGGAATGACACGGAGCCGCTGTGCCGAGGTCAGTCCCAGTGCCGCAGGGCGATGCGGGGCGGTGGGTGCGAGCACCCCTGGGAGCCCAGCTGAGCCCTGCCCACCCCTCGCTCCTGCAGCCATGTGTGGGGGGGAGCTGACCGCCATGGCCGGGGTGATCCTGTCCCCCAACTGGCCGGAGCCCTATGCGGAGGGGGAGGACTGCATCTGGAGGGTCCACGTCGGCGAGGAGAAGCGGCTCTTCCTGGACATCCAGCTGTGAGTAGTCCAGACCTCGGTGCCTGTCTCTGCCCCACCAGTGCTCAGCCAGCTTTGCTGCAGAGTCCCCAGGGACCCTCACCATTTCCCTGTTACTCCCTTGGAGCTTTCCTCATCCCCCTGTGACGTACTCGGCACCCAGGGGGAGGTGCAGGGCAGTACCAAGTGCTGCTCCTCGAGTTCAAAGCGCTGTTACACCATCCATTACTGTAGTTCATTGCTCCTGAGATGGTTTCTGGACTCCTCCGGAGCGCAGCCGCAGGGAGCGGTGCCACAGCAGCACACAGCCACGCTCAGCTCCGAGTGACACGAGGCACCATCACAAGCTGGTCCGTACGGGGCTTGGAGAGCCTCAGGACACCCATGAGCTCCAAACCTCAGCTTTGGACTGGATGTGATACAGGCCGGACGGGATGCCTAAGCTGGGGGAGGGCGCAGGGAGGCTCTGCCCAGCCCTCCCTCCTGTGCCCTGGCTTCTTTTGTGGCACTACTACGTCTTCACAAAATGCATCCGTTCCCCCTCCCGACTGCTGATTGTGTTCAGCAGCATGGCTCAGAAAGCTGCGGGGCTGCAGAGCAGAGCCACATGCAAACCCCCGGCTGCGCCGGCACACGGAGGGGTCAGGGGGGTATGGGATTCAGCGCCAGGCTGGGAGCCCTTGGTGTGACAATGCTGCCAATGCAAAGGGAGTCTCCTTCGATGCTATTTTGGGTTTTCAAGAGGAGGGTGTGTTTCAGATAAGGGCTTAGAGTCATAAAGGTTTTAAAGCTTTCTGTAAAAACCACAAGTCGGAGCTCCCAGTGCACCTCTCCCAGCTTTGTGGGTGCTTGGGCTGAGCAGAACTGGAGGCCAAGCAATTTGAAGTCATCAAACATAAATGTCACTGAGAAAATCATGTTTGACAGAAAGCAGAGATTTACTACAAATGTCAGCTTGCCACGGGGATTAGCTGGGCGCCTTCCAAGAACATTCTTAATAAAACATGTGGAGATTGGCTCAAGGATCTCCAAACAAGGCTGAATTAGAGGGGCTGACGTGCAGGGCAGGGGTCCCGCAGCGGCCGAGCAGGTCCTGGGCCCCCGGTGCTGTGCGTGAGCCCAAGCTTCACTGGGAATGTTACTTCAGCCTCAGACCTGATGGACACTCCTCCTGCGGGGCCAGGGGCATCCTGGTGCTGTCCCCCTGCCCCTCTCCCCCATGGGGAAGGGGAGGATGTGGTGCCCCTGCCCCCCAGCTCTTGCTGCCCAAGCTCCTCCTGCGCTGCCTGGTAGCAAAGCGCTGGGTGCTGGCTGTGCTTCCTGGCACTGGTGAGCCTCGCTGGCACATGGGATGGCACTGGTGAGCCTTGCTGGTGTGCAGGATGGCACTGGTGAGCCTTGCTGGTGTGCAGGATGGCACTGGTGAGCCTCCCTGGCACATGGGATGGCACTGGTGATCCTTGCTGGTGTGCAGGATGGCACTGGTGGGCCTTGCTGGTGTGCAGGATGGCACTGGTGAGCCTTGCTGGTGTGCAGGATGGCACTGGTGAGCCTTGTTGGTGTGCAGGATGGCACTGGTGAGCCTTGCTGGTGTGCAGGATGGCACTGATGAGCCTTGCTGGTGTGCAGGATGGCACTGGTGAGCCTTGCTGGTGTGCAGGATGGCACTGGTGAGCCTCCCTGGCACATGGGATGGCACTGGTGATCCTTGCTGGTGTGCAGGATGGCACTGGTGAGGTTTGCTGGTGTGCAGGATGGCACTGGTGAGCCTTGCTGGTGTGCAGGATGGCACTGGTGATCCTTGCTGGTGTGCAGGATGGCACTGGTGAGCCTTGCTGGTGTGCAGGATGGCACTGATGAGCCTTGCTGGCACACGGGATGGCACTGGTGAGCCTTGCTGATAAGGCAGGGTGGCGAGCAGGGGAAAGCGATGTCTCTGCCCACCCTCGGGGTTGGTCCGATCGGTTGACCCGTGCTACCAGCCCGGAGCAGGCAGCCGGCGCTAGGGCAGCAGAGGCAAGAGAAGGAGCCCGGCTTTCTCCCGGAGCCCCCCGGCCCCTCCTGCCCGAGGGGCAGCAGCCGGGCTGGGGGTGGGGGGGTGGGGGGGTGGGCTGTTTCCCGAGCTGGGTCGGGCCCTGGAGCAGGGTTTGCTGCCCGCCCTGCCCCCCCGGCAGCACCGCCGCCGTCCCCGGTGCCATCCGCGGGCCGCCACCGCTCTCTGGTGGCCGCGGCGACGATCGCGGCAGCGCGGCCGGTCCCGGGCGCCGGAGCCGCTTCCCAAACCCGGTCCCGGGCTCGGGGCTCTGTCCCGCCTCCCCCGCTGCTTCCCCGGGAGCTGCAGCAAGGGGAGGCGCCGCGGTGGGCCCAGTTTTTAGTGTTTTTTTCACGCCGCGGGGCAGCCCATCACCGCGCATCGGGGTGGCGGGCGAGGGCTCATTTTCCTCCTGAGCCACCCAGAGCTCTCGGCGGGGACAATGGAGCCGGGGTGAGCTGTGGGGTTGCCGTTTGAAAACCAGCACTGTGGACCCACTCGGGACCGGGCAGCACCACAGCGCTTGCCCAGCCTGCCTGGGGATGGGGACAGGGACAGGGATGGGGACAGGGACAGGCCACGAGGCAGGCTTGCTGCGCTGCAGTACCAGGGGCAGGCGGTCACCCCGCTGTCCCTTGAGCCCGCCACCGTCGCGCCCTGCCCTGGCTGCTCTCTCACCAAGCTCTCCTTTCCAGCCTGAACCTCACCAACAGCGACATCCTCACCATTTACGACGGGGACGAGCTCACTGCTCGCATCCTGGGGCAGTACGTGGGCAGCAGCGGTCCCCAGAAGCTCTACTCCTCCAGCCCCGACCTCACCATCCAGTTCCACTCAGACCCTGCCGGGCTCATCTTCGGGAAGGGGCAAGGATTCATCATGAACTACATAGGTAGGGAGAGTGGGGTGCTGGCTGCGGCCCCTGCCCTGACACTGCTGTGCAGTCGGGGGCCGTGACACACAGCCAGACCAAGTCATCCAGGTGCTGGGTTTGGAACTGGGAAGAATTGCTGTGACACCAACCCTCCTCTCCACATCCCGCTGAGCTCCTGCAGAAACCCCAAACCCCACTGAAGGTCTCTGAGTCAGTCAGTTCTGGGGTGGCCCCGTGCATCTCTCCTCTTCCAGGCTGGCAAGAAGGCAGTGGCATTTTTGGTCCCTGTTGGCCCTGGTCTGGCCCAGTGCAACTGCGGAGCCGAACAGGGAAAGGAATTGCTGGAAATAGGGGTGCAAGATCCCCCCACATATTCTGTCAGGCACAAAGCTGATGGCACAAAGGCATTGCAGCGAGGTGTCCTCCCAGGGCACGTCACTGGGTGGGCTCCTGAGACGGATGTTCCCAGATCCAGAGAGCCTTAGACTACGCCTGGAGACGGCTGTTCGCATCATCCTTCGGTGCAGCCACGTCTGCCAGGCTGGGGCGGCTGATGCTCAAGGAGGGGACAAGGGCTGGGAAGGGCATTTCTTCCCCACGGCTGCCTATGGTGTCCCGCTGCCTGTCTTTCCCCCGGCAGACTTCTTCCCAGTGTGTTTTCTTTCCACTGCTGACGGTTCTGGTTACGACAGACAGACAGCAAGCTGCAATGCAGATCACCTGCGAGGCTGCAGGTCCCCTCCTCGCTGCGCTGCAGCACACGGGGCTGGGCTCAGCGCTCGGTGGGCACGGGGCTGGGCAGAAACCCCTCACCAGAGCAAACCAGCCGTGCCGCGACCACGGCATCCACACCGCTCCTCTCCTGTGCTTGCAGCCAGAGCTGAGCCTGGCATTCCCAGGTTGCTCTTTTTGTCCCGACCCCAGCAAAGACACTGCCCTCTTTTCAGCAGCACCTCTTTTCACCCTGCCTGCTTTTAGGGTCAGGGCTGCGGAGGCTTCAAAGAGCCCCTGTTACCCGCTGCCACCCTGGGGATGCCACCCATGGACCGGGCTGCTGGCTGTGGCTGTGCTGTTGGCGGTGCAGGGGGCTGGAGGGCTCTCGGGGAGGGACAGGCACTCAGCGAAGAGCTGTGTGTCCACGTGCAGCGGCTCCAGGGAGGGCTGAGCCGCGGGGTCTCGCTCGGTGGGTGACAGCCAGCATCTCTCTTGGCTGCAGAGGTGTCCCGCAACGACTCCTGCTCCGACCTGCCCGAGATCCAGAACGGCTGGAAGACCACGTCGCACACGGAGCTGGTGAGAGGGGCCAAGATCACCTACCAGTGCGACCCCGGCTACGACATCGTGGGGAGCGACACCCTCACCTGCCAGTGGGACCTCAGCTGGAGCAGCGACCCCCCCTTCTGTGAAAAGAGTAAGTGCCCCGAGCAACATGCTGCTGTCCCCATCGCATCCCCGCGACCCACACCGCTTCGTAGCGGCTGCTGGTCCCCGCTGCGATGGTGGGGCTCCCCACTCAGGCCACCTCTGTTCCCCAGTTATGTACTGCACGGACCCGGGGGAGGTGGAGCACTCGACCCGCCTCATCTCCGACCCGGTGCTGCTGGTGGGGACCACCATTCAGTACACGTGCAACCCCGGCTTCGTGCTGGAGGGCAGCTCGCTGCTGACCTGCTACAGCCGCGAGACGGGGACGCCCATCTGGACCTCGCGGCTCCCGCACTGCGTCTGTAAGTTCGGGCACTCTGCTCTCCCGCAGCTCGGCTTGGCGGGTCCCGGGATGCCCTTTCCTGCATTTGAGACCTTCCCCAGCCGGGCCGGGTGGTGCAGAGCTTTGAGCTACCTGAAAGTGGGAGGGGGTGAGATCTTGGGTGCTGCCTCCCAGGCTCCTTCTCTCCCTTGGCAGCCCAAGCCCTGGGGCTCACCCTGGGATGTGTTCCCTTTCAGCCGAGGAGTCGCTGGCCTGCGATAATCCAGGACTGCCAGAAAACGGCTACCAAATACTTTATAAACGCCTCTACTTGCCAGGAGAGTCCCTGACCTTCATGTGCTATGAGGGCTTTGAACTCATGGGGGAGGTTACCATCAAATGCATCCTGGGCCAGCCATCCCACTGGAGCGGGCCCCTGCCCATCTGCAAAGGTAACGGTGGGGGTGTCTGGGGGGGGCGTGGGGACAGCCAACGGCTCTGTCCCCACCCCGGGACAGCCTGGGGACCTTTGTCTGGCTGCAGACCCCCAGCGGGTCTCTAGCTGGGAGCTAAACTCACCTGAGACCTGGATGCTTCTCCAGGTTTGTGCCGAGCTGGCTCTGCTGCCCCGGGGAGGGGGAGCAAACCCTCTGGCCACCGTGCTGGTGGTGTGGGGGGGGTGTGGGGCAGGCCTGGCCGCTTCCTTGCCTTAGTTGCTTCCCGTAGTGGTTTGCCCAGGCTCAGCAGGAACGTTCTGCTCCGGCACCCGCTGCGATGGGAGAGCTCAGCCCCAGGAGACCCCCTAGGCACTGGTCTAAATAAGGGCTGGGTTCCATGCTTTCTGGACACAGGAGGACCCTCCCATTGCCATTAAGCTGCAGGGATGAATTGTTCTTAATTACTACTTAATGAGAATACATGGAAACCTTGTCTCTTGGGCAGCAGGGCTCTTGGGAGGGTACCACCCCCCAGGCAGAGCTGTCCTGCCCTTGCCTCGCTTTCCCAGCCTGCTCAGTCCCGTGTGTGCGCTTACAGAGACCGAGAGCTTATAAAAGGCCAAAAGTTTGCAGCGTGGCTTAGGACCAAATGGGGCAGGGAGATGCTAAGCCTGGGCTCCCCACGCATCCAACAGCTGCCAGCACCCAGTCAAACCCAGTTACGTACCAGTAACCCTCCATTTCTCTTCCAGTGAATCAAGACAGCTTTGAACATGCTCTGGAAGGTGAGTGACATGCCTTTGCTGGATGAGCCCCACGCAGGGCCCTCAGCCAGAGCCTGTGCAGAGCCCGGGAGGAGGGAGGGGAGAAGCAGAGGCAGCAGGAGGATCACAAGGTGCTTGCAAATGCCAGCGTAACAGATCTTGTCCCTTTAGTAGCAGAAGCTGCTGCAGAGACATCGCTCGAGGGGGGAAATATGGCGTTAGCCATCTTCATCCCGGTGCTGATCATCTCCTTGCTGCTGGGAGGAGCGTACGTCTATCTCACAAGGTGGAGTGTGCAGTGGGGCTGGGGGGGCCAGGGCTGGCTCAGCATTGCCGTGCCCTCACCGGCCACATGCCCCGAACACTGAGCTCCTGCTCCGGGGTCCCCAGGGGGCTGGTGGGGAGCCGGGATGGGGGGGACGGGGCTGGTCGTGCCTTGTTCCAGGGTCATGCCGTGCAGCCCAGTGACTCTTGCATCTCCCCCGCAGGTGTCGGTACTACTCCAGCCTCCGCCTGCCCCTCATGTACTCCCACCCCTACAGCCAGATCACGGTAGAAACGGAGTTCGACAACCCAATTTATGAGACAGGGGTGAGTTCCTCCCTGGGGACCGCGGTGACGGGGAAGCGCGGGTTTTTCCGGGTGTGCGGCTCCAGCCCCACCAGTCGCTCCCGAGGGGCTGGGTGGGCTCAAGGAGACAGAGGGGCCGCAGGAGAACACGGCTTTCCCAGGAGCAAAACGGCACCCAGAGCCTCTCCTGCTGCCTGGGAACAGGGAGATTATCCTGAAATGTAGCTGCTGCCCTCAACTGGCTTCTCTTTCTTTTCAGGAAACAAGAGAATACGAAGTTTCGATATAAGGACAGCGGTAAGAGAGTCTCCGGCTGCGAACTTAATGTGCTCTCATAGAACTTCCTCAGTAACTAATCCAGAGACCACGTGGAGTTTGGTTGGACCCCTGGACCTGCTGTTGTCTTTCCTTTAGCCTCTTTATTGAAGATTTTACTGTTTTCTTCACTGTATTTATTCTATTTAAACTGCGATAGGTGTGCTGCAGAGCTCTGGGCGCAAGCAGCAGCGGGAGCCGGGGCAGAGCCGGGTCCCGGCGAGGCCAGGGCGGTGTGGGGGCACCCGCTGTGTGTGTCCCCCCCACACACACACACAACGGCGCATCCCCCGGCACTGCCCACACACACGCACGGGGGGGGGGCGGGATTTTTGCAGTTCTGGTGTTGTTAAAAATTAAAAATGTCTCCATTGCAAGAGCCTGCAGTTGATTGCTGGGAGCTGAGGTAGGCGCAGGGTTTGCCGCAGGGTCTCGCCGGCGCTGCCAGCCCTCCCCATCCCGCAGCTCCTGGCTCCCCTCGCCTCGAGTGGGAGCTGCAGCCAGGGGCTCGGGTGTCACCGGCTCCGGTGCCACCGGCGCAGGGACGGTCCTTGCTGCGGGGAAGCGGAGTGTGGCTCAGGAAAGCTGCCGGCCGGCGCAGAGCCCTGCTTGCTGCGCCGGGGAGCAAGGGGACGGCCCGGCACACACGAGGTACACGCCGCTTTCTTTTCCCGCTTTGCTTTGAATGCCAGAGAGGCAGCGAGCCAGGACTCACAGCTCTACGCAGAAGCATTAACCAGTGACCCCCCAGCAGCCCCGCGGAGCCGTGGGGACCCCCCCTGCAGCGCCGGGGAGCTCCGCAGCCGGTGCCTCTTTGCTCACGCCAGTTGTTCCTCTTTAGTGACACTTACCGTGACCCCTGCCAGGAAAACCCCGTTCCCGCTAACAGCCGGAGGTCACCCCTTACCCCCGCCCCGGGTAGCATCTCAGGGTAAGCAGGACGGAGTGGGCTCCCCGCCACCGCTCCCCCCGGCTGCGGAGCTCCTCGGCGCTGCAGGGAGGATCCGCTGCCTACCCCGGCGTGCGGGCAGCCGCGCCGGCACGGAGCTGGGCAGAGATCGAGGCAGCGCAGCCCACCCGGCATCTCCCACCCAGCCCCCCCCGTGGGGCTGCAGCTCCCACCCACAGCCCCCCGGGGTTGGCACCTAGGTGGGGCTCGCAGCTGGGCAGGAGAGGGAGAGGGGCAGGGGATGAAATCGGAGGTTGACGGGGGAAGGAAAGGCAAGCAGGCAGCGTGGCCAGGCTCCGGCACAGGAGACCAGCCTGTGGGGAGCGGATCAGGCTGAAATCAGCCTCTTGGAACTGGTCCCAGTGCAGGCAAACCCCAGTTTGAGCCTCAGCATCCCCCTGCGCTCCTTCGCTGCCTTCACCCCTGCCAGAGCCAGACACCAGCGGGGCTGCCCCCCTGTCCGTGAGGACACGGACCCCAAAGGGCCATCTCCTCCCCCCACACACCGCCGGCCCCCCAGCCAGGCCTTGGGGAGGACAACGAAGCCACCGATGTGTCCTTGGCTGCTGGCGTCTTTCTTCTGTCCTTGTAGAACAGCAATTGTAACCACGGGAGGCTGGTTTAGTTTTGGGATGGTTAGTGCATCTCCGCAGTGTACAGCTGAGACTTAGGTTTTTTCCTTTAAAAACAATGAATGTGTGTTTGTAATTTGTAAAGGTTAAAAAAAAAATAGAAAAAAAAAATGTGCCAAAAATGTACTAAGCATTTCATTTCCCTTCATACATGTCTGTTTTTATAAGAACAATGTGAAAATTGCTGGGATTAAATATTTTTGAACATGATAATCTACTTCCGTGGGAAGCTCTAGCATTCAGTCTAACCTCAATACAAATCGTTCTGTATTTTTAAATGTCTGAAATACTTTTGCAGAGGCTCGGACCGCAGGCAGGCCCGTGATCTGGCCAGCTGCACAGGCACGGGGGATGCAGCGGCGCAAGAGAGGGCGAGCGCCAGGCACGTGGCACACCTCCCTGCGGGACGGGGGCTTGGCTCTGAGCGTGGGGGCCAGATCCTGCCCTGCTGCAACCCCATCGTGTCTCCCTGCTCCCACGGGCTGGAGCTGGCTGAGCCCTGCTGGGACACATGGGGTGAGCTGGGGACAGCTCTCCAGCGCCGGCTCCCCCCTCACCCTCCCAAACCCAGCCTCACCCCCTTCCAAGCATCACCTGTGCCAGCCCAGCTGCAGCGGTACCCCCCATGGGGGGGGTGGGTGTCTGGGTCCTGTCCCAGGGCACTGGGACCCCACTGGACACCCGTGGCCACGTCCCAGAGGATGTGCGGAAGGTTTTGGGGGAGCCCCACTAGCACAGCCCAGCAGGGCTGGGGGTCTTTGGGGACCCATCCTGCCCATGCCCTGCTCGCCCTGATGCCCCACGGCCACCGCTCAGCAGCTCCCATGGGATGTGTGCCGGCTGGGGCAGGGCAGCGCCCCAAAACCCCAGGGAGAACATGGGGGGAGGCGGGGGGGCTGCCTTGCCTGCCCCCCGAGCAGCCCCACACCAACCACATCCTGCACTGCTGCTCAGCTCAGGGAAGACCTCAGGGCTGGGTAGGAAAAATCCACACCCCCGCCCTCTGCTCCCTGGGAGCCTCTCCGGGCTGTGCTGCTCCCGTGGGGGCTCATCTCTGCCCCCTGCCCGCCTGGCCCCAGGAGGTTTCCCCCCCCTCGAACCGCCCTCCGGGAGATGGCCAGGCCCTGCCACATCCCTGGGGAGCAGGGAGTATAAAAAACATCAGGCGTGGGCAAGGTGCCCTGGGGGGACCCCCTGGGAGTCTGGGGGGGACATCCCCAAGCACAGCCCCACTCCTTGGCCGGGCAGTGACACCCCGGGACATCCCAGGTTAAACACCATTTCCTGGGACGGGGAGGGACGGGGATGCTCAGCCCATCCAGCACCCTGGGAAATGCCCTTTCTCGGGGCATCCGCTGTCCGGCTGAGGAAACCTGGGGCCTCCCGTCCATCCCTGCACCTCCCCGCATGAAACAATAAAATAATCCTGCACTCTGCAAATGTGCTTTTAAAAAAGGTTATGACGTGACATAAGATAATAGCTTTGTGTAGCAGCTGCCAGGCTAATGCATAGGGGGGCGAAGGAGCCAAGGCTCTGATGCAGAGCATTCCTGGGGGAGGAAGCTTGGGTTATTTTTGGACAGAGATTGCAAGAGAATTAAAATGAAGGAGAAAAAAAAAAAAAAAAGAAAAAAAAAAAATCTCGATGTTGCCGTTCCTCCTCGGTGACGTAAAGCAGGAGCCAATCTCTGGCCTTTCGCTTTGTGCCGTGGATTAAGCTTTGTCTGGGTGAAGCAGCCACAGCCATTACCCGCCTCTCCCCTGCGGCGGGTGTGAGCCGGGGGACACACACACACACACACACAGGGTGCTCATCCCCTGGCGGTCATGTAGCCGTGAGGACTCACCCCCCCCCCGCACCCACCCACCCGATCTGGGGGACCGGGGACCCCCTTTCCAGCCGTGTCGCAGGGCGGTGAAGCAGAGTAGCTGCTCTGCCCCGGCGTGGGGGCCTCGTGCTCCCCAGGAGGATTTCACGCGGCCGTTCGCTGGCCACGTTCCTGCACCTTCCCCCATCGTGGGGTTGTTTCTCAGCAGGAGCCAAAAGAGGTTTTTGGGGAGCTGTGCTGAGGATGGAGAGCTGGGGCAGTGGCTGGCCCCCAGCCACCTTTCCCCCACCCCGGCTCTGCTAAGGGCTTTGCTCTGCACTGGGAGGCAGGAACCGGCCGCGGGGTGCCCACGGTCACTAGTGTCGGTGGTGACAGAGCCCTGGGGCCAGCGCTGACACCCTTCAGTGCAGGATCGGAAAAGAGCAACAGGGCAGAATATGACCAAAGAGCAAAGAGTGAGGGGCTCAGGGCTGGGCTGGCAAAGCAGCACCCAGAGTGAGAAACGCTGCAGGAGGGACGCAGGGCTGGGGGATAAAGCCATGCTCAGGGGCTCCTGCACTGTGCCGGGGCAGAAGCTGCTCTGGAGGGGGTTTGGGGAACAGGAGGGTGCGTGGTGGGGGTCTTGTCGGCTCGGGGAGTGCGGGGAGGACCCCTCCAGCAGCACTGTCCCAGCTCCAGCCTAAACGCTGGGGGAAATCCTGTCCCTGGCAGAACATGAGGGCATTTTTGGCTGCAGGCACGTCCTGGCAGCGGCGCAGGGGAGGACACGGGGCCGTGTCTGCCCCGGGAGCACGCCTGGGGAAGAGGGAGAAGGAACGGCTGGAGCCAGGAGGCTGCCGCGCAGGCAGGGCTCCTGCCAGGGTATCTCGCTGGCAGAGCCGTGCCCAGCGCACCCCGGGGCTGTGCTCAGCTCTTCTGCCATGGGACACATCCTGTGCCTGCTCTTGCTGCCTGCTTGGCCCCTGCCAGACCCTCGCTGTCCCTGCCTCGAGCCCTGCGACCCTTCCCCACACCTCCATCCCACAGACGCCCCGTGGCTGTTGGCACCGGTGAAGTGGGGGCTGCAGAGGCTGCAGGGTGGGGGCTCAGGGTGCTCGGGGTGCTCCCCGTAGGTGGAGGGGGTTGTGCCTGCAGTATTCCAGGGGATCCCAGTTGAACCATCCCAGGCCCAGGACCTTCCTGCTGGAATGACATCTCCCCTGAGCAACCGAGGCTGGGTGAATCACCCAGGCCAAACAAGAGGAGAGGAGTTGATAAGGCAGAGGAGGGACCTGCACAAACCCAGGAGGAGGATTAACCCTCACTGCATCCCTGCCAGCCCCTCAGAATCACACAGGGCAGAAGCATCTGGTCCCTGCACCCTCCACCTGGGACAGGCATGGGTAGTACAGGTCATGTTGCAAGAAACCTCTGTGCTGCGTGCGGTGGGCTTAGCGTTATTGGGGATATGCACCCCAGCGAGTCAGGATGAGAGCCCAGTCCTTCAGATCTCCGATACTCCCTCCTCTGCCCAGAGCTGTGGGGCAGCTGCACGGTGGAGCGGTTGCTGGGGTGGGTGCAGTGTTGAGAAGGGGGTTGTTGCGCTGGAGGGTGACGAGCACCGGGCGACATGCTAAGGGCAGAGGCAAAAGAGCAGCAGCTCATCCTGCAGAGAAGAGACAAGCAGCAGAGCTGAGGAGCAGGGCCTGGAGGGGCCCAACGGGGAGCAGATGGAGGGAAGAAAGGATGGGAGAGTCCAGAGCCCAGCACCCAGCACCCAGAGGCAGGGGACTCTGTGACTGCCATTACAAGGACGCGCTGTCTGCCAAGAGCAGGCAGGAGTTGAGGGCTGAGGCTGAGAGGGGTCTGGGAAAGAGCAGGAAGGAATAAAGTCACCCTCCGTGCACCCTGCAACATGCGACGCAGCCAGAGCCCTGCAGGAGCAAACTGCGGGGGGGCCGGGGTGGGGAATGTGCTTGGGGGAGCACAGGGGAACAGCAGCAGCAGACAGGAGGTGGAAAATGTGCCAGGAGAGAAAACAAGGAGCAGCCTAGGGCTGCCGTAGCCGGGGATGGGGTTGCTCCGGGGCAAGCACATGCATCCGAGGGGCTGAGCAGAGCAGCCCTTATTTCACTTTTAAAACCCAGCTAGAGCCGTGACGGGGGAGGACGCGCAGGCACTGGGTGACGAAACCTGTGAAACAAGGCAGCAAGGCAGGGCTTCCCCCGCGCCGGGAGCCGTGACACGTGTCCCACACAGCTCCACGTGGCTCTTTGCCACAGGGCAGGGCAGTGCTGCCAGGGCTCTGCCTGCGCCCGGACGCTGCCTGCAGTCACCTCGGCCCAGCAGCTTATCACAGAACCTCAGACTGGCTGGGGTCAGGGGGGACCTTCAAGATCATCCCATTCCACCTCCCCTGCCACAGGCAGGGACACCTTTCGCTAGATCAGGTTGCTCAAAGCCCAGTCCAACCTGGCCTTGGACCCTTCCAGAGGCAGTGGAGGGAGGGTTGGACCCTGGGGCTCCCTGGATTTGATAGTGCTCGCTTAGGTGAATGGGAAAGGCGTTGGGGAGGAAAAAATCAAGCAAGCAGGAAGCAGAAAGGCTCACAACAAACTGTTTCTCCATCAGCACGTAAGTGTTGTTAAGGGACACCCCAAATTGCTAAAAATTGTGCTTCTTCCACAGCCAACCTGTAAAGCTGGTCTCTTCTTTGCCATAGGGCCAAAGCCAGGATGCATGAAAGGTCAGATTAGAAAGAGAACATTTTTGTCAACCCTCCTGGGCTGGCTGAACTGGATGGAGCCCAGTGCGTGCTGCACTTACAGCCTGTCTGCTCTGAGTGCTGAGACACGGCCGGGAGCTGCCGGGGCTCCACAGATCCTGTGCCCACTGCCTACGGGCTCTCAGAGGAAAATCCTGGGAGCCTCAGTCCCAACACTGCCCGCAGCTGAGGGAGGAAGCACCTCGGAGCAGCAGGAACGGGAGCAAGAGACACCAGCAGACAGGTTGTCATTTACCAACCGAGGGATCTTCCTAACTGGAGGGGCAGGACCTGGCTGGAGGTGGAAGGGGAGAGGCTCACACACTTCTGCCACCTCCTAGGAATGCCCAGCATCCCTGGGGGCTGCCTCCCCAGGTGTCTGCCTCCACGGTGCTGCGTCCCAGGTGCCCCCAGGCCAGCATCTCCAGCAGGCAGCACCCCTGGGAGGAGCCTCCCCCCATCCCAGGTGCTGCAGCACACCCTCACATCCTCACTGAGGCATCCCCTGGCTGCCTGCCCCTTGGCTGTTGCCTCCCTGGGCGCTCCTGTCCCCTGAGTGCCAGGCGCATGCATCCTCAGGGACCAGCAATACCCTGCAAACTGGGTGCTGCATCCCCAGGTGCCCGTGCGCCCCCGCAGCCGGTACTCCCTGCATCGCCGGAGCCAGCATCCCGCAAATCCCAACTGCCGCATCCCTGGATAGATTGTGTTTCTGGAGCCAGCCTCCTGCCTCCTGGGTGCCCGCATCCCTGCGTGCTCCCACCCCTGGGGCCAACCACCCCGGGGTCAGCATCCCCCACTGCTGCAGCCCCCAGTGCCTGTATCCTCGGAGCCAGTTTTCCCCGCGTGTCCTCCTGCACCAGCCCCCCACCACCACCACAACCGGTGCCTCTGCAGCCCAGCTGCCGCAGCCCCAAACGCTTCCCCCCCCCCCACCACCCCCGGGGGTGCCCGCAGCCGGGATGGGGACCTGCACCCCCACCTCACAACCCCTCCGTCCTCCAAGACACCCCCCCCCCCCTCCTCCTCCTCCTCCTCCTCCTCTCCCGCAGGTGCCGCAGCCCCGCCCCGCTGCGCGCTGCGGGGACGCGCCGCGCCGCCCCGAGGCCGCGGCGAGGGGCGGGCGCGGGGGCGGGGGCCGGCCCGCAGCGGAGGGCAGGGCGGGCGGTGCCTCCCCCCGGGGCCCGCAGGCTGCCTGCCCGGCGCGGTCCCGGCGGGGGCGGTGCGGGGCCCCTCCTGCCCGGGCTGCTGGGAGTTGTGGTTCCGCGGGCGGCGAGCGGAGAAGCGCGGAGAGGAGCGGAGCGGCGCGGAGAGGAGAGGCGGCCCCGCACGGCCCGGCCCGGGCAGCAGCAGGTCGGTACCGCCGCGTCGCATCGCACCCGAACCGCATCGCATGGCGGGGGGGGGGGGGAAGGTGTTGGGGGGAGCGGGGAGCGCAGCCCGGCTCGGCGGCGGCCGGGCGACACGGCCGCAGCGGGTGACACCGCGGTGGCAGGTACCACCGCCACGCTCGGGTGACGTGACACCGGCGCTGCCACACCGGCACCCGGTGACACCGCCGTGCCGGGTGACACCACCGCGCTGGGTGACACCGCCGGGGGTGGCACACCGGAGGAAGGGGCGAAGCCGGCGCCCGCCTGGCCCTCCTCCAGCTCCGTAGTAGCACTGGCACCCCAAACGCTCCCGCACCCCTCCTCGCACCGCTCCCGAAGGCGACAGGCGCCTGTGCCGAGCCGAGGGACAGCCCCGCCACGCGTCCCCGTCACCACGGGGCCCACGGCCTGGGGGGGGGGGATCCCGGCCGGACTGAATAAAACCCACCTCCTCGGGGAGATGCCGGAGCCCCCACGGAGCCACCGAGATGCAACTTTCTGCTGCATCGAAGCCTCTCTGCCTTCATTATGTAACGCCGCTGCTGCCTGGCACGGTGCTCGCCTCCACGTCCTGCACAACTTCAGTGCAATGTGGAATTGATTTCCACTTTTCCGGACTGGCTCCGCTGGTTTGTATTAGCCGACGAGCCTTTTCTTGGACGTCAGGCCAGGGGTGCTTTACTCAGGTACCCATCTCGGCGCAGGGCCGCGCCGGGCTGGAAGGGTGACGGCAGCGGGTCCCAGGCTCTGCCGGCAGCGGTGCGAGTGTCTGGGGCCCTGCTCTGCCACCGGCACTGCCCCTGCAGAAGGTGGGTTTGGGTGGGTTTGCAGCGGGGCTGCCTGTGCAGCTGCAGGGCTGGATCCCGGCCGGAGGCTCTGCCCGAAGCATCCTCGGCGCAACCCGAAGGCTCCGGGGCGAGACAGGCAGCACGTGGGCGCGGGGGCTTTGGTCTCCTACTGCTCTGACGCTTTCCCCCCGTTTTTCCCCCTTTGAGGTGTTGGCAGCAGCCCCGGCGCAGCAGTAGGGATGTATTTGTTCTGTGCCGCCCTGGCAGGGGTGTGAGGGACTTGGGCTTGGGCACCCTGAGGCTGTCGGACCCCCCAGTTCTGCTTCCCCCCACCCTCCCCGTGCACGGGCTTTGTCAGTCGGCTTCTGGACGAGCCTGGTTACTGCGCTGAGGCAGCTCCCTGCTCGCCTGTCAGGGCGAGAGCCACCCTGAATACAGATCATGGCAGGGCTCTGCCTGCTTCCCGGGCATGCTCCGGCACCGCGGAGCAGCGGTGGGGTGGTTGTGCCAGGCTCGGGGAACACCCCCTGGGACCAGCTCCCCAGCAAGGCCTGGGCTGGAGAAGTTGGCGTGTCTGGAGGGATGCCAGCCGGTGGGGATGGAGGAAAGTTATCTTAAAATTCCCAGGAAGCTGCGACGTGCCACGTGGATTGCAGATCCCAGGACGGGGCACACAGGCAACTTGCTATAAGGAAGTAGCTTGGAGGGAGGTCGGCCGTGCGGATGTCAGTCCCCGCCCCAGGAGTGTAAAGCTGCCCCGAAGCCGGTGTTCCCCCGCCCTGCCCGAGGTCCACAGCTGCAGGGTCAGGTCCCAGCCAAAGCTCCACCAGCTGAAGTGCATCACCACTGCGATCAATAGGGAAATGCACATTCATCAACGAGCTGCAGGACCTTGGCGGGGAGGGCTGGGAAGGCTTTGGATGGTTTCCCTGGCTGATAAATCCATCCTGCTCCTTCAGGTCAGTGCTCTTAGGGATGAGCTCCCACGGCACCTTCCCTCCCCTCACCTGGACCGTCCTCATTTCAGTCCTCCCAGATGGAGAGGCGTTTGCCTTGCAGCTCCTGCCCTGCCCAGGGCGTGCAGTACCCCCCAGCATGCCCAGCCCCAGCATCTGCTCGATGTGGAGACCTGACCCACGCACACTCCTGCTCAGCTGCTTTAAATGCTGTTCATCCACGATTACAATCTCTCCTTTGGTGCTGGCAGCGTGCTTTAGGCTCTCAGCGTGCTTCCCAACCTGGTTTGTGTTTCCCCTCTGTTTCTCATCCATTGCCTTGCCCACCCCTCTGCCCCCACTGCCCAGAGGGGCCGAGGGATGGAGTTCGTGGTTTTGAGGAGTCAGAGCACCCTCTCTTTACACCGAGCTGCTTTCTCAGGAGCTGGGACAGTGAGACAGGACAGAGGTGCCAGGAGGTCAGTGAAGAAGGGACACAGTGGCCGCTGTTTGTGTAGCGGACTTGTCCCCTGCCCGGGGAAGAGGGACAGGCTCTGTTTCTCGGGCTGGACGCGCAGGATGTTGCGGTGGTGCTGGGAGCCGTTCAGCTCCTGTGACCTATGAGCTGGTAACCTCTAGTTGGTGAAATCAAACCAGCCAAACCCGTCCTGCCCCATGGCCACCGTGCCCTCCCCGAGCTGGCCGGGTGCCGGGCTCCTGCATCCCCGGGGGGCTCAGGGCTGGCAGCTCAGCCTCCGGAGGGTCATTTCTGAGCATTTAGATCCCGGGGAAAAACTGATGTGCTGCAAGACAGGGCTGTTAAGTGTCTATTCCCAGTTTTGCCCTGCTGCCTTATCAGCCAGATTTCAGACATGAGGAGGCAGCAACGGAGGAGAGTAAAGGAGGAAGGAGCAGGAGGGGAGATGGTTGCCCTGGGGCAGTGGGAGCGGAGGGACCTGGCTCTCTCCCCTGACCTTCCATTTGGATATTTTTGGAAGATGCTGTTGGGAGGGATGAGGGTTTTTCTCCACATGGGATGATGTTGGGCTCCTGGGCAGAGAGGAGGGCTCCTCGTCCGTCATTCCCTCACAAGGAGCTGGTTCCCTATGCGGCCCTGGCTGCACCCGGTGCACCGAGCCCCCCGCAGGGACCCCAAGGGAAAACCACCTCCCTAATGCCTCCGGGTTTCTCTCCCCAGAGCCTCCCTCCAGCGCTGCCTTTCAGGATGACCAGCCCAGGAGCACCAGCGGGGACCCTCCGGGCACGTCGCTGCTGACCCACGGTACTGGGACCCCCGGGCAGCCTGGCCGCCCGCCTCCCCGGGAGCTGCCGGCCGCTGCTGCCAATGCAGAGCTCCCGGGTGTGCAGGGGAGAGCCGCAGCTCCGCTTCCCCATGGCAGCCCCTTCCCCCCGTGCCCCGGCCCAGCTGCATGGTGTGGGTGCCCCTGAGGACCACGAGGACTGACCGCCGGGCCCCCCTGCGCGCACCCACCACCCGCTGCACCACCATGTCTTTGGAGTGGCTGATGGACTGGAGCTGGTCCCTGGACGGACTCCGGGATTTCATCGCCACTGGCATCCAGTCTTTCCGGGACTGCGACGCCACCGCCCTGGCCGCCGTCGCTTGCCTCCTGGTCCTCTTCGTGTGGTACTGCTACCACGTGGGCCGGGAGCAGCCCCGCGCCTACGCCACCGTCAACGCCCTGATGCAGAGCGCCGAGGCCAACGGCGTGCAGAACGGGTACGTCTACTGCCACTCGCCCGAGTGCGTGCGCTGCACGCACCACGACGGGCTCAACCAGAAACTCTACCACAACCTCCAGGAATACGCCAAGCGCTACTCCTGGTCGGGCATGGGCAGGATCCACAAAGGCATCCGCGAGCAGGGCCGCTACCTCAACAGCCGGCCCTCCATCCAGAAGCCAGAAGTCTTCTTCTTGCCGGACTTGCCGACCATGCCCTATTTCTCCCGGGACGCTCAAAAGCATGACGTGGAGTTGCTGGAGCGCAACTTCCAGACCATCCTGTGCGAGTTTGAGACCCTCTACAAAGCTTTCTCAAACTGCAGCCTCCCGCAAGGATGGAAAATGAACAGCACGCCCAGCGGGGAGTGGTTCACCTTCTACCTGGTGAACCAGGGCATGTGCGTGCCCAGGAACTGCAGGAGATGCCCACGGACGTACCGCTTGCTCGGGAGCCTTCGCACCTGCATTGGCAACAACGTCTTTGGGAACGCGTGCATCTCCGTGCTGAGCCCGGGCACCGTCATCGCCGAGCACTACGGACCCACCAACATCCGCATCCGCTGCCATCTAGGTAAGCGCCCGGCGGGGTGGTTCATCCTGGCCGGGTGGCCCCGCCACGGGCGGTGTTGGGGGGGGGGCCTGGGTGCAGGAGCCCACAAAAGGCCTCATTCACCCCGTGCTCTCTGAGTTCAGCCACTAATTGCAGCCCCGGGGCCGGCTCGGGTGCCCGCTCTGCTTTGGCCTGAGGGAGGTTTTGGGGCTTTGGCAGGGGCAGCCTCCCCAGGAGAGGCTGGTGCTCGGTCCCCCCAGGTGCCCGACCTCCCCGGGGTCCCCAGCTCAGCAGCGGGAGCGTTTCGCCACCTCCTCCCGCCGACCTGGAGGCGTGGGCTCCTGCCGCTGCGGGATACAGGGCTGATTTTGTGCAGGGGGTCTCTGAACGACCCCCGCTCTGCAGGCAGCCCCACCTCCCCGTCACGGGATGCAGGGGGGGCAGCCTGGGGTGCTGCTCCGGGGTCCGAGCTGCCTCCCAGCGCCACCCCTCCGGCAGCTCCCCCCGCTGCTGGGATTTCGGGTGCTCTGCGCGGGACACGGGCGGATGTGTGCAACGCTGCTGCTCGGGTACAAATCAGGGGTGGGGGGTGCCGGGGTATCCCCGCCGGCGGGGCGAGCGCCGGGGCTGGCGGCGCGGTGCTCCCCCCACCCCACGGGCAGCGGGGATGGGGAGAGCCCACACGGCACAGATGGTCGGGACTTGCCGCGCTGGAAGCGGCGCAGATCGTGCCGGGGGAGGCACCGCACGGGCCTTGCTGGCAAACACCGAACGCGCCTGTTCAGCCAACTCCTCCTGGGTAAACACGCTCAGGCGGCGGCTGGCCATTTATTTTGAATGGGGGATCAGTCTTCAGAGCTCATCTGGGGAACTCTCCAGGGCTGGGGATCTGCCCTTGCTGGTGCCGGGAGGCAGGCCCCCACCCGCCCACCGGCTCTCCTCTCTTTTTGGGGCGCCGGGGCCATGCGCTTCCCTTGCAAGGGGCTGAGAGCGGTTCCTGGGAGGGGGCCAGAGAGGCGAGGTCCAAGCTGGCTCAAAGACACCCTGCCCCGCATGCCCCAGGGGAGATGAGAGATGCGGGTCGTTCCCTTGTCCTGTGACGACGTTTTCCAGCTCCCTCTGCTCCGCGGCTGCTGGCCCTCCAGCCAGGACACAGCACCATGCTGGAGCACGCCGGGGGGGCTGCTCATCCCCTCCCCGACACCCCCACCTCAGTCTAGCTGTGCCCAGGGCACGGGTGCGTTTAAGAGATCTGCCCTTTCAGATGAAAAGCCAGAACAGCTGTCAGCACAGCCCAGTTGCTCTCCAGGATTTAACTCCAGCCCCACTCTGCTGAACGTGCCGGGCCGAGCCCAGGCACCGGCTCTGCCCCTCCAAGGGACAGGGCAGCGTCCCCCGGGCTGTGGGGGCGAAGGACCCGCTGCGTGTCCCCGCTGCTCAGCTCCTCATTTCCAGCTGGAGCATCCCCAGCTGAAGCCGTTGTGCAGGGGAACGGCTTTGGGTTTTGTAGGCTTTGAAAACACCCGTTAGAAAATCAGAGCGGCTTTTTTTTTTTTTTTTTGCACTCCTGGCTCTCCCGGGCAGCTGGGAGTCCCTGCTGCGCTCGCTTGGTTTTGGCACCACTGCAAGATCCGTTCCTGCTCGTTTGCTGCATCGTTTCCGATTGCGAGCCACGTGAGCCCCGACCCCTTTCTCCGCCACGGCTGCATCCTCGGGGCAGGGTGACTCCGCACCAGCTCCAACGGTCCCCAGCTCTGCAGGGCGTGACATTCCTGACGTAGGCGGTGATGGGATCAACCCTTGTCAAACTGGCCTGACTGGGGCTAGTATTTTAGGAAAAGGCCCGTTTTATTTCTAGGATTATCCTCCTTCACGTGGCCTTCGCAGAGCCTCTTTCCCACAAGGGTTTTGCGACCTCCCCCCCTGGAATTTCTGTCCCTGTAGCTGCCTGGTGGGTCACTGTGTGGCAGCATTTCGGGTGGGGGACCGAGTGACAAGGAGGCCAGATGGGGAGCGTGTGGCAGAGCCAGGAATTGAGCCCATTTCTCGAGTCCCAGTGCAGCACTTCCTCCCAGCCCAGCCTTGCAGCGGGCAGAGTGACTGCAGCAGAGCTGGGGGGGAGGAGGGGGCAGGCTCTGCTTTTGGCCCTGTAGCTAGAAAACGCACGCAGAAACTGGCTTCCTACCCACACCCTGTGTTTGCGGCCTCCGGGGACTCGATGGCCATTCCAGGTGCAAAAGCCCACGATGCTGAGCTCGTCGGGGTGCAGCGAGTGACTTCGGGGGGTGGGGGGGTGCAGGCAGGGGCTGAGCTGCGCCGGGCTCGGAATTCAGCTTGCAAACGCTGGGCGAGCTTCGCGCGCGGTTTGAACCCGCGTGGCGAGTCCAGCGCACCGTGGAGCTCGCCGGTCGTGTGTCAGGGCTGCCCAGCGCCGCCTCACCTTCCCTGTCCCCTTCTCTTTGTGCCTGAAGGTCTGAAGACGCCCAGCAACTGCGAGCTGGTGGTGGGGGGCGAGCCTCAGTGCTGGGCTGAGGGCCGCTGCCTGCTCTTCGACGATTCCTTCCTGCACACGGCGTTCCACGAAGGTAAAGCCCAACGCGGGGCCTCGTCCCGCGCTGATGCCTGCGCTGGGGAGGAGCGGGGCAGGGCAGCCGTGCCCCGTCCTTTCCCCTGCCAAGGCGTCTGCAGGGCTGGAGGCACCTCCAGCCCCAGGGGGGGGGTGGGTTCCGCCGCTGCTGCCCCTGGTTTGCCCCATTCCTGGCATCATCCACTCTCCCCGCTGCTGCAGGGTGGTGGAGCCCCTGGAGCCCCCTCCCCAGGGCTCGCTCCCATCCTGACTTGCTTGCAGCCCTACCAGCCCAGCACAGGGCCTGGCAATCCTCTCCCCGCCGTGGCAGCCAGCACAGAAAAGCTTCCCTCGTCCCTCAGAGCTTGGCGGGGCAGCTCGGATGCCGACAGCCTCAGCATCCCCTCGCCCTTGCTGGTGGCAGCGCTGGCGGCTGCAGCAGCCCTGTTTCAAGGCAGCAGCTCAGTGCTGACGTGCCAGAGGTGCCTTTGTCTCCCGTGCAGGGAGAAAAGCTTTGCACCGGCCTGTTTTGGTGCCTCTCTCCGTCACTGACTGAGGCTGTTCCGCTTCAGCTCTCCCGGATTAACTGGCATTAGTCACTGATGGCATAAAAGCATCAAGCAGAGCTGTTTTACGCAGGGGAGCGTGTGAAGAGAGTGGGAGAACAAAAGCTGTTGCTGCCACATCAACCCTGCTGTGGAATTGGGAAGCACAGCTCAGCGCGGAGCCGCGGGGCTGGGAGGGCTGGAAGAGCGCAGCAGCAGCTCCCTGCACTGCTCTGCGACGCAGCTGCAAAGGAGGGCGAGCTCAGCAGTGTGCCCACTGCCCTGAGACGGGAAACCTTCGGGTTTGATTGCTCAAAAGCAAGCCCGGAGCCCTGGCACTGGGCTCCCAGGAAGCAGCAGTTCAGGTGTTTATTGGAGTTGCACTGGGCAGACGCTTTCCTGCTGTCCGGTGCGGCCGCAGGCTGGTCCTGCTGCTGGGTGCACGCTCTGCTTGGGGTACAGGCAGCATCCCCCTGGGGTGCAGACAGCATCCCCCTGGGGTGCAGGCAGCATCCCCCTGGGGTGCAGGCAGAATCCCCCTGGGGTGCAGGCAGCATCCCCCTGGGGTACAGGCAGCATCCCCCTGGGGTGCAGGCAGCATCCCCCTGGGGTACAGGCAGCATCCCCTTGGGGTACAGGCAGCATCCCCTGGGGTACAGGCAGCATCCCCTTGGGGTACAGGCACCATCCCCTGGGGAGAACCCGCACGCCGGGGCGAGCGCTGGCCTCTCCCGGGGGGAGCACAACCTCACCCCGCACTTTGCATCCCACCCAGGTCCCCCCGAGGAGGGTCCCCGCGTGGTTTTCATGGTGGACCTGTGGCACCCCAACGTCGCCGCCGCGGAGCGCCAAGCCCTCGACTTTATTTTCGCCCCGGGACGATGACGGCGCTGCCCGGTGTCGTGGGTTCGAGGGCAGCCGGCGGGCGGGCGGCCGTGCCGGCTCGGCTCCGCCGCGGGTCCAGCACCGCAGCGGAGGCTTCCTCCCAGCCCCCGGCCGCGGGGTCTCCTCCCTCCCGGGGGTTCTTGTAAATGGAAACTGCGACGTGTATCAACGCCCATCTCTTTCCTTCCATCGTTGGCTTCAGGGATTATTTTCCAACATGACAGCGCATCGCCTTCCCTCCGTGGTTAGCTGCAGCACCACTCTCGTACGTGTTATGTTGCTACTGTGTTTTGCGGTGTTCCGAAGTAGAGTAACAAAACCAAGGGTGTTCGTTTGAATGTAATAATGTAAAACTTGTCGTGGTCATCACAAAGAACAACAACATACACACACACACACACACACCAAAACAGCAAACCAGCCAAACAGCCCAGTGCTGCGCACAGCCTGCCCCTGTCCTGGTTGCAGTCCCTGGATGGATGGACGGACAGACGGATGCTGCAGCGGGCACAGTGCACGCCCCTAGGCTGAGGCAGGCAGGGCAATGCTCTGCCAGCAGTGAGCTCTCGCACCACGAGCCCAGGGGCTCCCGTTTCCTCCCTCGCATGCCAGCAGGGCCCCAGCCCGGGGGTCCCCAACCCTCCTGCCCCCAGAAATCTTTTTGCCCCCCGGGCAGGGAGCAGAGCACGGCGCCGGCTCCCCGGCCCCCCTCGCAGCTGCGGGTGCCTCCAGCCCCAGCAAGCCCAGGAGCACCCTGACATGCACCCGGTCGAGGGGACAACACACCTCAAGCCCTGCTTTTTCACCTGACCGAGGGCATTAGCAATTGCCTAAATCCCCTCCTTGCTTTATCTGCAACCTTCGGTTTTTGCAGCTCAAGCTGCAGGGGCAGGGACACTGGGAAGGCAGAGCTTTTGTTTGTCCCTAGACAAAGGCCAGGGAAGAAAGGAGGTCAGCTTCCTTCTGCTGCTCCATCTTCTTCTTTCCTTGAACCAGGGCAAGCATACAGAGAGGCAGCTCACATACTTGATAGCAACAGAAAGGTTTCCAAAGGCGAGGGGTGTTTAATTCTGCAGCCCAAGGAACAAGCCCTCCATCCCCCGGGACTCCTGCCCACCCAGCAACCAACACGCTTCTCCTGAAGTCTCCCAGCACCCGGGGTTTTCTCTGGGGGGTTCCGGGGTGCAGAGCTGCCGTGTGATTTATAACGTGTCGTGGCCGCTCTCCATGTGCCTCTGGCCGGGAAGCGGCTGCGCCGGGCTCGGTGGCCTCGGCACAGCTCTGGGGACCGCTCACCTCCACGCCCTGCCCGGGAGGGAACGCAGCCCCCTCCCCTACGGTTTCTTTACAGAGTTTTCAGTGATTAGATTGCAATCTAAGGCAGAGATTTCAAATACATCCGAGATATTTTTTACACCTGTCTTGATACAGAATATCTGAAGTGCATGATTTCTACACGCATTGACTACCTGGAACCAGACCCTGAGGAAGCAGGCTGGCTTGGTAACTGTCTTACAGTTTGGTAACATTCATACAGTGGAAAAGCAAAGATTAATCAATAAACAGTCGTGCTGAAAACAGAAAGGGTTCTGCCTGCTGCTGTAACTAGTCCAGGGTCAAGCAAAGCCCCGAGGGGCTGGGTCCTGTGTACCCCAGGTCAGCCGGCTGCTGCTGGGGAGAAATGCGCTGGAAAAGCCGGAGCTCCATGATGGGAGGAGGGGATGGGCCCGGGCTGAGCCTGCAAGGTGAGCAAGGGGTAGTGCTTTAAAATACCCGGCCCCGTGGCACTTCTGACTGGTTACAGCCTCCCTGGCCCGGATTTCCCCCACAGCCCACGCTGCCAAGGAGCACAGGGAGTATCTGCTTTGCATCTCCTGACCCTGCAGAGCCAGACAGCCTGGGCAGCCCTGCGGGCCCCCCAGCCCAGCCCCCCCAGCTCAGCCCCCCCCCTCCCCTACAGCTCTCCAGGCTCCACAGCAGGGCCACCAGCCTGCTGGAGAGCCTTCAAACAAATAATTTCAGAAAATGCTTCCAGCTGCCTGCGCTGACGCAGGGAAGGCAGGAGGCAGCTGCCTCAGGAGCAGCTCTGGGGAGGAGGGTGCTGGGCTATCGCTCCATTCCTGCCCGAAAGCCAGTGCCCAAGCATGGGGCCAGCTTGGCAACGCAAGAAGTCGGCCCCTGGCCCTCGTTAGCAGCACTCTCACTCACTCAGACAGGACCCAGCCAGTGCAGCAGCTGCTCCTCATCCTGTTATACTTGAAAGGACCGGTTTTTAAATATTCTCTCTACAACGCAACCCTTAAGTCAAGGGCCTGGAGCTCTTTGCTATACTACCCCAAGACAACTTTCCTCTTCACAATCAAAGGACAGAAATAGGTCTTGGTGGCCAGATGCGGTTCAAGAAGCAAAAGGGACTGAAGCTGCCCCAGCTGTTCCACTGCCGACAGACGGCACAGCAGATTGTCGTGGAAGATTCCTGACGACAGCAGGCAAAAGCATCGATTTTGTGCTTTGTTGCTCTGCCAAAACTCCCTCCTGTCCCTCTCAGGCTTTTCCTTCAACTTCGTGTTTCCTGATAGAGCACACAACCACTTCCCCAAACACCCAGCCAGGAGACAGCAGGATCTCCCTCGGGGGAGCGGAGCAGCCTGGAGCAGCCTCGCAGCTCTGCCTGCTGTCTCGCTGCTCTTCCCGGCAGTCCGAGGCTTCCTCGCCTCCCGAGCGCCGCGGAGGGAAGCTGGATCTGCGCTGCGAGCATGCAGAGACAGGCCGAGCACTGTCTACCAGAGGGAGCCTCTTGGCTCAGCACCAGAGGAGCCCAGAGCATCTCAAGAGGCCTGGAGCACCCACCATCCACCCTCCCGCCTTCTCCCACCACCTCGCCCCTCGCCGGCCGCCTCTCTGTGCCGCGCTCCGGGACCAGAGCAGCTCAGCCGTAACTCTGGGAAGCAGTGCCTCACCCTGTGCCCCCCCCCCCACCCCCCCCAGCAGCGGGGTACCACCGAGGCGGGCAGTCTCCCCCCACGGCTGCAGCTCAGGCTTTCCAAAGAGGTTTCACATCTACACCACCGCCAGCCAACGGGCAACCGATGGTGGGCCGGTGCAGAGCAGCTCCGCTGCTCCGGGAGGAGGGCGGCAGCAGCAGGGTCCCCCGCCACACGGCTCCTCCTGCTGCCGAAACACCTCCTCAGCTGCCAGAGCTGGAAGGCAGATGGCAATCCGTGCCCAGCAAGCAGCTGGCTCTTCCTCCGGAGCGCACCGAGCTTCCCAGCCACGGTTTGCAGAGGAGCGCTGCGAGGGCAGAGCGGGACGAGAAGCTGCGACGACGGTGACTTTACCGTGTCCAGCTCCTGGGGGGGCCCCGCCAACACTGACGCAAAGCCCGCTCCCCGTTTCACAGGAAAGCCGGTAACACGTCCACGTTCAGCAACCTTCTAAGACCCTGACGAGCAGCTACTTTGCAGGAGCGATCGAAGCAACAGGCCCTGCCCGTTCAACCCCACCAGCGCAGGGACTGGCCCTCGGCACGGAGCTCACTGGGGCTAACGGGTCACCCAGCCCCCAGCCCTCACACCAGGAATCACAAACGCGACGACCAAGCAGTGAAGTCGGACTCCAGCCCCTGACACTGGAAGAGTCTTGGAGACTCTCTTTTATTTTCACAGTCACAGCGATGTGTGTGTGTGTATGTAACAGCAGCGGGCGTTGAAACACGCAGCACAGGCAGACGCAGGTACCTTGAGTCTAAGCTGCCACCACCAACCCCCCCAGCAGCAGCTGAGAGGGCACACTCACACACCAGCTGAGTGGAAAAACAGCCGCCGAGGAGATACAAAACCTCTTTGGTCCCGTTAGCTTCAGGGGCTCCCCCTCGCCTTTGCTGTCAAGGCAGCACAGAGAATCGGAGCAGCGAGAGCAAGGAGGTGAAACAGGAGGAGGGAGGGGAGGCAGCAGAAGGCCGAGGAGCAGGCAGGAGGTGCAGGGCATTCATGCCACCACCCCCACGGACCCCCGAGAGGGGCCGGCAGGTTGCAGCTGCCTCGGTGGGCAGCGGGGAAGGCAGCGCTGCGCCGCAGTCACCGGTCAGGCCGGCGGGGAGGGACAAGGATCTCCCAGATTCAGCTACAGTATAAAAACCTCCAGACAGCACCTGAAGGAGGATTCTGAGGTTTGCAGCACTTGTTCTATTCCAGTTAGTCTGAGAACACGCAGGCTCTGTTAATCAGGGCTCTGCTGTGACAGGGGATCATTTCTATAGATCAAGAGATATAAATAAAGCCCAAGTCTGCCCAGGGCAAATGTAGGCGCTGAAGCCCAGGCAGATGCAGTGTCTGACTGACACCTCTGAAAGCCAGCACTGCCCAGTAGCCCAGTGTCGGTGTAGCTTAGAGCAAGAAGAAGTTTTACTTTAGGTCAAGGCACTCCAGGAGCCTCTGCCTGTGGCGGCAGAGCCCCAGCAACAGTCCTAGAGTCAATGTAAACCAAGCACCCCACCACAGCTATGTTCTAGCTTCAGTCTTTGGTAAGTGCTAACGTCAACAATACCCCGCGCTAGCACAAAGTGTGCTGCAGGAACAGGGCAGTAAGAGTGCCCCTTCCTCAGGGCAAGGCAGGCTGGAGACCCCCCAGACATAGCGCAGAGCCTCGTGCCTCCTACAGAATAAAAAGCCTTGAGATTTTACATACTGGAGACGAACTAACTTTCCGCACGGGCCGAGACACGTTGCCTCAGTGCATCAAAGCAGGTTCACGCCATGCTTCAGCAGCTTTTGCTTGGCCTTGCTCGGCAAGCTGAACGCACTGTCCTGAGGGTTGGGGACACCTGAATTGCGGAGTGGAGTACCCAGCTGCTGGAAGTAGGTTTCCTGGACGGGGCTCCTGCAGGCGTACACGGCCGTGGAGGCGTTCCTAGCAGGGCAGGAGAGAAGGCAGCGGTCAGGATTTACGGCTTTGTGCAAGATCCACTTCAACTCACCAGGCTGGGCATTGGGATGCTTGTGGCACCAGACTCCCACCTATTGAGAGGGACTTTTAGGTCTCTCAGCGGAGCAAAGGAATGCAGAGCTAAAGTGGGCCCCAAAGCCCTGCAGTACATTGCCTGAAGGGCCACAGGGAACCAGCCACTCCTGCTCAAGGGTCCTGGCACCCGAAAAGAGAAAGTGTCCTCTGTCTCATCCTCTGGGACCTACCAAGCGGCATTAACACTCCTGCATGGAACCATCCTCTGAGTAGTTCCCTTGCTGGCAGACCAGCCCAGTACATCAAGAGCTGGTACTTAAATACTCCACGTGTCTAACATCCCTTCCTTCCCGGAGGAACCTTTCACTGCTGCTGTCCGTAAGCAAATCCCAGCAAAGCACCCTTGCAGCAGGAACCATACGAGGTTGTTCAGTCACCATAGTCAGATACCGTAACCACGAAAACTCAAGTCATTGATTAAAAACTACCACTCGGTATTTACCTGCAAGAAGGCTGGCAGGGAGCAAAGCAAAGGACTCTGCATTCCTCTTTGACGGAGGAAAGCAGCAACTGATATGTTTGCTGACACCCTTCTGTGACAACTCCCCGTAAAAGAAAGCAGTTTTAGTCATCTTGTTACTCAGTCTGATTCACACATGGAGTTGCTTTTTTTGGGGCAACACAGAATACGCCAAGCTTAGCCGGTATAGGATTTAAGGAGCCAGTCAAACTAACGCTAAACAAGGAGTCCTCCAGCATCGAAGTGGATGATTCACATTTCCTTGGCAAGCTGTGTCAGAGAAGTGAAACCGAGTAATTCCCAGAAGCATCTTTATTTCGTCGTGTTTTGGTCAAACAAGTGTGGCCAGGCAAGCAGAATCTCTGCACACTCACAACACAGCCAACCTCCCCGCGATCAAGCTACAGGAACGGGGGAGTGCTGCAGCCCCACATCAGCTTTAGCCACGGCTGTGCGGGAGGGCTCTGGCTGTGATAAGACCATCTTGCCTGGCGCATTACAATTGAGTTTGCCACGCACACTACAGTGTGTTTCCAACCCAACAAGCCGTGCAAGAAAACAAGATCTGGGTTGCCAATTCTGGGCGCCTTTGGCTCCCAGCCGAGACACAAATTTATTAAGAACAGCTATATTTAAAACTGTGTCTTAGAACCTTATGGTGCCAGGAACTGGCAATATTCTAGCGTTATATCTTAATCCAAACCCGTGGCACAACTCGGCTGTGCCTTCAGGTCACTCGCCTTGGTGCTATCCTAGCCCAGAACACACTGCATCTCAACACCCAGATCACACTGCAGGCAGAATATTAAACATTAAGAGAACTTCAGGGAATACGGCGACGTGACTGACCCTCAACAAGAGACACCGGTGTGATTACAACGCGTGCCAAACCTCAGCCAGCCTTAGAAAAGGGGTTCCCCCCTTCTGCCTATTCTGCATGCCACACAGCACTCCTGCGCCTGGAAGAGGAGGGAGTTAGAAGCACACCTTACCTAACGATCACTTCTGAAGCAGTCGGAAGCTGGTGGAAGTCGGAGTGGATCAGCGTGGCAGCTCTCAGGAAGTGCCGATCCAGAGGGCCGGGTGTATGGGGCAGGTTGGCTGCGGAGTAGGAGTAAGGCTGCAGGTTAAAAGCCCGCTCTGTAGAGGAGTGTGCCCCCATTTTTGGGGCAGGAAAAGGCTGTGGGCCTCTCCCACAGACGCTATCTACAGACTAGGTGACACCCTAAGCCCCAGTGTGACCCCTGTGAAACCAGACAGCGGCTCACACCGTTGCTCAGCCATGCCCAAACAAAAGCCCGGCGTACCTTTCCACCCCACACGTCAGAGGGGTGACAAGGTGGCCTGAGACCTGGGTTCCCTAAAATCACTGCCGTTTGTCTCTTTCCCTAAAGCACTTCTAAGCTGCAGAGAGGTGGGACACTGCCTGTGAGGCTGCCAGAGAAAAGGAAACATTAGAAGGAACTGGAGCAACACAGGGCTTTCTGCATGTCAGTGGTCTACCCATCAATCAGGGCAGCAGTCTCTGAACTGCTGGCTACTACCTGTTCCAGTTCCTGCTTTCTGGTAGCCAACTCTGTTGTACCGCAGGACAAAAGGCATCACACCAGGGATGAATGAAGCTGGGGGAAGGAGGGCGGGTTTGAAGAGGGTATCGAGTCTTGTCCTCGGACTTGGCCCTCAGCAGAATCCCAAGCGACATCTTTCCAAGCAAAACGCCGGTGGCAGCTGCTCCATCTCCCAGCAGCCTCTGGCTCTCATCCAAGCAAAGCGATCAACAAGGCTTCAGCAGATTATAAACTTGGAAAAGAGAAAGCTCCCTCAACAGGGCCTTATATCTAGGCTGTCTGGTAGGAGTTATAGCAAGCAATGTTTCTGAGAAGTTGCCTGATGCATGAGAAAAGGTGACCATAAACCCTGCTTTCCTCCTTGTTTCCCCCTCTGAAGCAGCTGCTGCTCCACAAGATGAAGGCTTACCTGTGAGTACGTTCTGAACGCAGTCGTAGTGAGCGAAGCTGTAAGTTGTCTTGGCTGAGGATGAGGAGCCCTTGGGCAGAGTCTCCCTCAGATGAACCTCAAGGCCATTTAGAGAAGCCAGACTGCTGTGGTACTGCAGACAGGGCAAAAAAAAAGGCAAGTGTTAGAGCTGAAGTCCTGCTTCGCCTAGACTTCCAAGGAGGTCCCGGAGGCAGCTGGGGTGACCGATGTTGATGACAGCGGGGCTGGACCCTTCCACACTCCCCCCAGGAACGGCTGAGAAACGGGCACAGAGGAGAGCAGGCAAGTCTCTCAGCTTACAAGTCAGTGAGATGGGGACTCAGAAAAGGGCACTCCAACCTAAAAATAAGCCATTAAACCACCTGATGCTATTAATTACAGGGAAATGCACGACTCCATTAATTTACCATCAAACATTACTCTCCAGGGCTCATTTCCACATCCCGGCCATGACTTTCAGCCACAGCAAGGAATATTTCGTTGTTTACCAGCCCTTCTTACACCAGACAGACACTACAACACCGGATGCAGCTTCACACACTTGGGATGGATTTAATTGCCTGCAGTGTTTCCTGCAGCACCCTCTCAACACATGCATAAATCTTCCAATGGGCACCCAGCCTCTGTGCTGAGCTTCTGGCCAGCTGCAGACTGCGGGCACTGGGATATCACCAGAAGGAAAAAAAACAAAAAGCCAAGGAAACAGCCTCACCTGGGGGGTAACAACAGGCCCAGCACAGAGCAATGGATTCACACAACAACATACTAACATGAAAGCCAAGCTGCTTTCCCGACTGGACTCGGAGCAGCCCAGCTGCTCTGACCCTGCTGAGCCTCCCAGACAGGGCTGGGAAGATTAATTCCATAATCCTCCAGCCTGCCCGTGGGCTTTCCTTTGCCACGGAGAGGATCAAGCCTCAGTTCAGCAGGACAGCAGTGCCTGGCCTACCCTTGACCCATCTGGTCATGGAACAGATTTTCTTTTCTGTGCAGTGAAATGAAGGGATAAGACCTAAAGACAGGCAGAAAGCGAGCCTGCAAGCCTCCAAAGCCTCCTGCTCTGCAGGGAAAGCCTGTATTGGAAACCGCCCTCCCAGAGGGATGATCGGTACTGCTCGCTGTTCTCAGCTGCACAAGTAGCATATTTTACCCTTCTTTGGTGTCATTCAGGGGCCTCCAAGCATTCAACAAACATTAATTATAACTAAGCTTTGACATCCCTGAGAGCTGAGGGTCATTTTTAATCTACAGATAAACAAAGGAACAGACAAACTGAGGTTACGCCTCAAATCCACCACGACGTTGGTGGCAGAGCCCGGCTCTACCTCCCCGAACAATTCTCTTCCTCCTGGGCTGCCGGGACACGCAGTGCATCTCTCCCAACAGATAATGCACACCTGCGCCCAGAGGAAGGGTAGAGGTGGAAGAACCCAACCACAGTCAAAATCCAAGCTGTGGGAAAGTAGTTTTGCCAAGATGAGATCCAAAGCAAGAGTATGTGAGATGGAAGCAGCGTGTTTGGGAAAAGAGGGACCTGGATGGAACTGGGCTTTGGAACCCCCCGGGCAATGCATAAAGGAAAATTGACTGAAATGCCGTGCACCAGTGTCAGGCAGCTGATCTTGAGACTTAATGAACTGAATGACAAATTGAGCCAGGCCGGGCGCACGGCTGGCCTTGCCCAGGCATCTGACGGGAGGAGGACGTGCAACATGTCACTAGCAGAGCTAACCCCACCCCCCGGTGAGGCATTTCACACGCTGGCTACATCCTTCAGACGCTGCTTCTCACGGCAGGTTAGACATGAAGCAGAGCAGAGGCTGGATTCCAGCTGCTGGTGCCACACGGGCTGCCGGGAACCGCACCGCCTCCGAGCACAGCAGAGCTGCAACCGCAGAAATCCCAGAGAAGCTGAGGGTGCCTGTGCAATGAGGACACCCTTCAGCTCTCCGGAGCATCAGTTCCTACCTGCCCACCCCTCCCTCCTTCCCCGCAACCGGAGAGGACACAGCAGAGCAGGAGCCGTTGTACAGCTGCCTGTTGGAAACAAGCAGAAAGGGGACAGAGCAAGGTGCCTCATCTGGCGCAAAAGCCCACGGCTGCACCTCCTGGCCTCTGCTGATTTTGCAGCAATCCCTTCCCGGGCACGCCAATTCTCACACGCTGTGTGGAAGTGGCGTCCCCATGTTTATAGGGCTGGAGGGGGGTCACAGCCACAGCCTCCGAGTCCCAGAGCTCAGAAGTAAAAGGAGCAACCTTGCTAATGCTGGGAGCCAGCGTTAGTCTGAGCTTCCCTCCACCTTCCAGTCTGATGGTTAAAGAAATTAGGTTGTTCCTATGGCAACTGGCATATCAAGCAGGCCTCTGCAGCTTTGACTCAGCTCCCTGGTAGGGAAGCAGAGGCCAGGCAGCAGCTCCAGCTCTGCAGACTAATGCTTCACCGGGAAACACTGGGGGACGGCACGTCCTTCCCCTGCAGCCCCATGAGCCACGCCGGTTGGCAGGGAAGCCTGTGCACCGAAGCAAATCCCGCAGCAGAGTGATTTGGGATTGCTCTGACACAGCACCTATCTGCAGCACCCAAAGGGCACCCTTCGCTCCGGCCCCCGGAAAGCAGCTCCAGGGAGAGCAGGCTGGGGACAGAGAGAGCCAGACTTCCGCGCAGAAAGGAAACGCTTCAGGGACTTGGCTGCCAGACACGTCTCTCTGGTGCTTCCAGAGTGAGAAGCTGTGACACGCAAAGTGGAGGTTAAAGAGAGAACAAACCTTGCTTTCCAAAAAGCACTACAAAACCGATGGGGGTTTCCCAGCAAATCCCAAATCCAGCACAGGCCTTTGGCAGCCCGCAGGGCTGTCTGACGGGCACACCTACACGTTCTGCTCCAGCGCTGGCACCGACAGACAACAACAGGCAACAGGAGTCGCCTGTGAGACAACGCTCTCACCTCTCAGGCTCGCTGCCTGACGTTTGGGAACAGCCTCCCACGTAGCACTGGGTGCGGTGACGAACCCCGAGCCAAATGGCTTTGCCTTGCCTAACACAGAGCAGGTGAGGAAAGAGATGGGAACAGCGATCCAACACGCGTTCTTCAGTCGTAACCCCCGTCCCCACCACCGGACGAGCAGCAGCGAGTGTATCTGCAGGTGTGGAAGAGCTTTCCCACTTACCACGTCTTCAGTGGAGCTCTGGTCCTCGCGGAGGTGATCTTCAGCCAGCAGGCAGAGCACGAGCCCCTTAATGCAGTGAACATACAAGCTCATCTGAACCGGTTTGCACCGTTTGCCTGACTCCACACCAGCCTGGGCTCCCAGGCTGTCCCCCCGAGGCGGCCAGCCGCTCTCCCCGCTCCGGGGACAGTCTGTGCTCTCTGCTGGGTCACCGGGCAGACTCTCCCGAGCCTCTACAGCTGGCAGCTGACTCTTCTGTTGGAGTTCTGATTGTACCGCCGGGGCTGGGCAATCCAAACCCCTCACATTGCCACCAGCTGCACCACTGCTTTCTCCAGAGACACTCTTTTGGCTCAGAGTCCCTTGCTCGGCCTGTTCACTTGCTTTCCTTCTGCTCAACTCTTGGGCAGGCGAGCAAACAGCTGGGCTGCCACTGGCTGCATCACTTTGGAAACCGTGTTGCTCAACATCAGAGTCCACGAGGGATTTGCCCATGCTCTGACTCTCCTGCTCCTGGGCGTAAGGATTTGGAAAGGAAAAGCCTTCCAGATACAGACCTGCAGTTTGAGCATATTCAGCAGTATGGAGTGTGGAAGGGCTCGGCAGCTGCTTTGTGTCTCTCTCTGATGGGAAGGGTGCTTTTCTACTGAACTCTGAGCTTTTGCTGTCTGGGCTGCTCAATCCTGCAGTTGGAGAATTCTTTGTACCGGCTTCCATTTCGGGGAAGCCCTTCAAAGGACCTGTGTTTGCAAGGCTGCTTGATTGCACAGCATCTTCTGGTGCAGCTGTGCTTGAAGCTTGCTCAGGGCACTCCTGCACAGAGATATTATTCAGGTCTCCTGTTGATTCTGAAACTGCCTGGGAGCAGAGAGCATTCTTCTCTTCTCTAGGGCTTGCTGGGGACACGGATGACCTAGTGGGAGATGACAAGTTGATTAAAATTCTGAGTAGGATCTGTTTGGAGTTATTACATGCCTAATAACAGTGTCACCTCCTGGTAGCATTCAATAGGTGAATCTATCTCAGAAAAGGATGCGCCAACACAGGTGAAAAGCATGGGCCTCTTACACTGCAGACTCCTGGGAGTGCTATTCTGTTCCTTACAAAGCACAAAGGCAGCACTGTGAGCTGAGAAAGAACAGGAGGTCACAGCTGGTCTCGGGAAACAGTTCTGCTTTAGGCTGCTTCACACTAGAGAGATGGCCACCATAACTTCTGTCCAGCCTGAAAAACCTCAGGCAGCTTTAGCAGCCAGATGACAGACTTTGAGTTAGTATCAGAGAAAACAGTAACGATGGCTAGTGAGGACACAGCACCGCATCACCTCCCTTGCTGCAAAAGCCTCTCCATGCGCCAGATTGATTTCCTACCTAGTCATCCACTCCACTGGAAAGTCTCGGAGCACTGAGACTTCATCTTCTGTTAGAAATACGGGGATGATACGGACACCCTGCGGCAGCGGAGAATCTGCAAGAGCAATGGAGGTTTGAGGGTTAAATAAACACGCCCCAGCATAAAGAACAGAAGCCAAACTCCATCAGCCCAAAGGCTTTTGCAGGAGGAGAAGGCATGCTATCCCCCTGCATCCTGGGTGACCACAAACTGACCATGTCTGCCTAGGCAGCATTTTCCCACCTCTCTCATACCCTTAATGCCTGACACTTAAATTTTCCCTCGGTGTTTTTTCCTAACCATCCTGGCAGAATATCTATAAACTGACGCTCAGGAACGATGACTGAAGGTTTGGACTGAAAGCATCAGCCATCTGTTTTCAGGGCTCTGTCAGTGGCCAAGTAGGCACATGGGTAACTGGAATTAAAGCAGGCATGTTGGGAATCTGCAGAACTGATAATTAAACCCAAAAGAGCATATTCGTTTGCTTAGCCAAAGGGACTAGTTCTGATTGCACAACACCCACTGGCACATGCTGACTAGTGGCAGCAACACCCTCAGGGATATACTCCTGCACCCAGCAAGAGCTTTGACGGGAATCCCAGAGAACCAGCTCACGCTCTCACTGTGGAGAATGCAACCCCAGAAGGTTGCCCATATGCTGCTGCTGTGCACTTGGCAACCAGCACTCTGCAGCTGGATGCTCACCAGGCTCCCGCTGCTCCTCACCTCCAGGCTCACCCTGAAAGAAAAGCCAAGAATCAGCTCTGTGGCGTGACTCAACACTTGCCATCGATGCCACCAGGACATCTCTTCCAGCCTCCTCGGCCTCCCTGTGACTACAGCAGACCCCAGACCATCCCCTTCTGCAGATGCAATGACTGGTTTACCATGCCGGGCAGTGATTTGTCCCTTAGGTAGCCCTCAAAGTCAAGAGGACTTTCCAGGAACCAAAATACACCTGAACACAAGGACAAATACAACAATTTGCTATTACTGCCTGCTCTGGGCACAAAAAACTTTGTTCACTCAGCCAGAGGCCTTCTTCCTATCTTTTGTGTAGAAGACCTCGACCACATAAATAATTACTTTTGACAGGTTTTAATGGCAACAGAAATTGATCTATTTGTCACTTTCAGACATTTATTTTGTATATTTAGTGCTAAATACGTAAGCTTGGATAAAAAGCTAATCAAGACATCACACAGATTAGAACTCATTAATTCAGTAACTTAAATACCAAAAAAAAAAAAAAAAATCAAGTTCCTAATGCAGAAGTCTTTAAGCCTTACTCAATTATAACCAATAAAGAGTTTTAGCACAGGCATCAATATTTGTCCTTCCCAGCAAGAGCACACGTAGGATCTATGTGACAGGAGCTCCCACACCACATCCTCACAGGAGGGTTTTCTGCATGCAGGGAATGTTTGGCAGCATACCTGGCCTGGAAACTCATTGCCTTGGAGGAGGACTTTGGCAGTAAGAGGAGGTGGCAGCTGGGTGCTCACAATCCTGAAAGGACAGAAGAAAGTCAGCCGTGAGCTGCGCGGCATTTCCTGGAGCTCAGCCCCAGCCTCCCACCACGAGTGCCCCAGGACAGGCAGGGCCAGCGGCGACGTTCACACCAGACTGATACTTGTACTCTGAGCAAAAGCGACGGAGCTGCAGAGCCCCACTTCACAGCTGGGAGATCGCTGGGGGAGCCTCCGAGGTTCCACTGCACCCCCCTCTCCCAGTCCTGCTAGAACCTCTGCAAGGGTTGAAGGGCCAGCCCCAGACACGGGCTGGAGCTAACACATCCCCACGCAACAGGAATTCAAATGGAGTGACCGTCAGGACTCTCGTTTTCTTTTCTTTGGGCCAGTTCCACTCTAAACTCAGGAAAACCGCCTGCTGGCATTTACTTTGGGCCAACAAATCTGGTTTTGCCGAGTCAGACCAATGATGATGTTGGTAGACCAATCCACACAGGCTTCCTGCCACCCCATGAAGAGCTGCAGGCAGTGGAGAAGATTTGGAAAAACCAGCACACAAAGTACTGCAACAGAGGCCCCCTGGACAGGGCTTCCAAAGGTATTCTCTGTCTTTCCATTTACATCTTGTTGAGATCCACATTCTGGAGAATCTCCAAAAGACTCTAAAGAAGGGGAAGTGTAGCTCAAGTACAAAGCTGTTTCCAGTGTTGTAGTAAGATTCAGAGTTCAGAGAACTCCGATGACATTTGGTGAAGTCTCTAGCAGACAGAGCAGCGATACAGCAGGACACACACACGCACACTGGTGACGGGCAGACACAGGACAAGGCTCCGTTCTCAAGTCAGACATCCACTTCCACTGCAACATGCTGCCAGCTGTAATGTGATGCAGAGACTCGTGCTCAGCGTCCTGCTTGCAGGTATGAGATCATTCCCTTAAAAATGCCTGGCCTGCCTCTGTCAGACCTGGCAAGATGCACACATTGTTGCACGCTGCCAGCGCTTGTAAAAGGTGTCATAGGAACAGTTTACACCAAAAGAAACGGTGCTTGAATGTTATTGCCAAGAAGTTCTCAGAATCCCCCACCTCCTGCCTTTCAAGGCCACCTTTGAGGCTTTCCCTGATGTCGTTCAGTGCCACATCTGCAGCACTGTCAGCTATGTTTAATCTTCGGTTGAAAGAAGCCAGCGTTTCTCATGGGAAATTCTGGCTCGTTCTTCTGCGGGCATTCTACCCGTATGGACAGTGGTCCTGGCTAACATGTCAGTCAAAAATACAGACAGACACACACGTGCACTGGATTTGCAAGACTGCAAAGAGAACGCTAAAGGGAAAGAATAATATTCGAACACCTTTCTTTTTCTTGGTGACTTCCACCTAAAAAGTCCAAGAAGTTCAGTGTTCAGGTCCTGCTAAATATCAGAGACAGCAGATTACCACTAAAACCCAAATCCTGACTTTCCTCACGCTTCCAATTTCTCCTACTGATAAACACAAACTCCATTTCTCCTCTTTGAAACACACCAGCAGACAGGGATTACCTGAAGCATTCATGTTCCTGCCAGTAACAAGGAGCAGCCCTGTGTGTATGGCCAGTGCCCTCGCTCTGCTCCCAGGATCACAGCCCTGGGAAGGGGCAGATTTAATGTGTAGGATAGCCCTTTAGGTAATGCCTGGTTACTTACAAGCCTTTGTAGAGAATGCAGCCTGCCAAGACATGGGGAGACCGCTGGCAAGTTTGCAAGATGAGAGCTGCTTTCAGTAAAAGCAGGGGGTCTACCTAGACAGGGAGAACCGCAAGAAGTTAGTCCAGAGAATGCTGGAAAATGCTCAAAGCAGCAAATAAACACAAACCCAATATCACTAGGGCAGCTCTAGAGCCAGACACTGCAGAGGACAGGCTTTTACCTTGGTTTTGTCCAGATTCCAGAGAGAATTGAAAATCTTGTGGAGGTCACTGGTGTTTTTTTGGATATGTTCAATGTATCTGTCCCACTGTCTGCTCAGTTCCTCCTGAGAAAATGCCTGTGGACAACAAAAATCCAAACGGCCGTCACTGCGCAGGCCTTAATGCATTCAGGATGTTAGATGCAATCAACCTGGGATGGTACCTATGTGCCCTATCTTGTGAGGAGAAGGAGGATAATGGTATAGAGAGGAAACTGCTTTAGACTGAACACCTAGGGAACTTTTAGCAGATACCCACAGTACCTCAGTGCAATAGGATGGGCCTGTACACCTTTCCAAGTCTCAGTTTCCCAGTTCTTCAATACGTGAGCTTGCTCTGACTCTTGCTAGCAGGAAGGCAACGTAAGGGAACATGCCAGCGTGCACATGCCTGGGCAGAGCTTGGCCAATATGGGAAGTGTTTAAGATTTCTTCCTAAGCAGAAACATCAGGGCTGCTAATCTTTCATTACCATGTACGCACGGTGCACAGGTCCATTGTAGAAGGTGAAGAGGCTGATCAGCTGCTCCAGAAACCGCCTACAGCTGACATCAGGGAGCTCAACAGCACAGCCCAGAACCTTTAATACAGAAAGCTGTGAATGAAGAATGTTTACTGACAAAACCCAGGCACAGCAGGTGAGAACAACTCTTATCGCTTTTAAATGAGTATCAAAGGCATACAGGCAGTTCTGTGGCAGGCAGACATCCCCCGGATTCACAAGTCAGATGAAAAGGAAATTCAAAAATACCCACAGAAGAGCCCTGGCACAGACAGAATAAATAAATGATATCAGAAATCCAGTGTTTTAGACACACTCCCTTCCCACGTTAGATGACCTAGCATGGTGCTCTAATAGCTAAGAATGTTTTCCTGAAACTAAGTACTTAAAAATATTCAAATTCACTCATCATTTACAGTGATGAAGATGCTTCATTTAATTTCTGAGTTGCCGAAACAGAAGCATCAGGCTTTGTGCCTCAGAGAGGGCTCAGGCAGCACTGCCAATTAAATAGGTCTGACCAGTGACACCCCAATTTCCAGGGGATGGTGTGGGGCATTTTTGTCACAACTCTGTGGCACACTGCTCCTTATGTACTAAGTGTCTGTTGACAGTGACAAAGCTCTGCAGCAGGGAATACTGGGGGTTAGAAGGAAAGAACAATCAGACTATCAAAATAGGGAAACTGAGTCCTTATTATAAGCTGCAGCACACAGAATCCTGTTTCCAGCCATTGCTGGTAACACACAGATAGACATAATGACACAGAGCTCAATGCTTTACAGCCACTGCCCGGCACATCCTAAGAAAACACGCTGGGTGTGGACACACAGATGAGGCACGTGAAGCTTTTTACAGAACAGCTGAAGTGACTGCCACATCACGCAGTCGTAGGCTGAGGCAAATAAAATTTAAGTTACCTTGCAATGCAAAGTTGTGTGCATTGCAAGTTCCCACCCTAGCTCTCCCCGGGTCTATCTGTGCGAAGCCCATACCCTGGGGGAAAAAAAAAAAAGAAAAAAAAAAAAAAAAAAAAAAAAAAGAGACCTCTTTGTTTGATACAGCAGTTTGGACTCTCTCACTGTTTTCGCTCTGTGACTGCCTCCAGAACTCACCCACAGATAATCTCCATCCACTACAACTGCAAACTTGAGCTTCCTCAGGCGAACGAGGCTTGGAGGAGCTCCAGAAATCTCAGTCATGCAGTGCACCACTCCGGCAATCTGTCCGCACAGCAGTTCCTGCTGGTCGGGGAGAGTCTGTCGAGGAAGGCAGGGAAGAAAGACTTTTTTTTTTTAATCCTTTTAAAAGGACTTGGCAAAAGCATTGTATTTGGGTATAAATAAAAATTAATTATAAGTTCAATTCAATTACAAATCAAATGCAGTAGGACAGGCAAGTTTCTGGGGAAAAAAATAATCAGACTGCTTTTTTTCAGGCAGCACAAGGGCCTAGAAATTATATAGGGGCACTTTCATCCCTCGTGTATTTATTCACATCACCAGCCGGGCGACTCCACTGAGCAGCACCCACAGCGAGGGAGCAGAGCGCAACACCACCGTGCCCAGACTCAGAAGCCCAAGGACTTTTGCCACCAAGCCTGGTTCTAGTTGCATGAGTTTTAAGAAAGCTTTTGTGAATAATAAATAAGAATTAATCCAGAGCTCCACCTGGAAGCCCGACCATTCCTGAACCAGAATTACCAGCACTGACTCACAACACAGGCACCAAAATAAAAGCAAATGTTACCTGAGAAGGATAAAAATAACAAATCCCGGCACTTGTAGGATCTCCTTCTTCCTTAACCTTTGAATCATCGTAAAGGAAAAAGTAATTCCACCTAAAAAAGCAAAGCATTAGCAGAAACAACTTTATATTTGAAAACTGTTACGCTTCTCCCTCTCCTTCCTACTCTTTCAGGTGGAGCAATAAAAGTTATTACAAATGAAGAGAGACATGGTTCTTGCACAATCACACTGAGTTTAGACATGAAAGGAGCACTAAAAGGGTCCCATACTATTAAATTTGATCACTTTTGTTAAATTTAAGCTAGACTCCATAACTCTACAACTAAGACACGAGGAAGGAGATACGTGCTTGTGAGATATTCTCCTATCCCAAACACACGGGATAATGATCATTAAAATTAACCACGTGGTCCAAACAGCTCCCACAATCAGCTGCTTTTAATTAAGTTGCTGACGGCATGTGACAGGAGCACAAGGTGGAGGTTTCCTTTTGCAGATGACCTACATCGTAGCATTATTCAGCTCATCACTGCAAGGATGTACATATGTAATAATTTTGTCTGCTGTTACTATTAAGTAGCTGGTTACAGCTCATTACAAGCTTTGCACTCAAGAGCTTTCCAGCAAAAGCAGGCAAGCCTGGAACAAAAGCAAAAGGCAGCTCAACAGGTGAAGCTGAAGAACAGGAGTTACTGTCTGGCCAAGAAAAAAAAAGGCAGAATTCGGCCTTCGACCGGTCCCCCCGCTGCGATTCGCTGTGCGGACCCTGCGTGGGTTCCCGGGAGACGCGGGTCCCGCCGCCGGCTTTGCCGGAGCCCCGCCGAGCTGCGAGCGGGGCCAGGGAACGTTTCCTTGCCAAAAAAAAAAACCAAAACCACAAACAAACAAACAAACAAAAAAAAAAAAAGGGGGGGGGGGCGCGGGGAGAAACGCGCATTAACGGGGCAGCAGTGAGGGCGGCCAGCCGCCACGCGTGACCGCCCACGGCCCCGGCCGGGCGGGAGCAGCGCCGGTGTCCGCTGAGGACCGACGAGCCGGGTGGGCAGCGACCGAGGGGGGTGGGAAAAGGGGACCGGGGGGGGGGGGGGTGAAGGGGACCGGGGGCGGGACAGGGACCGGCGGGGCGAGGGGGCTCACCACGGCGCTGAGCCGGGGTCCGGCGCGGCGGGTCGGGCCATGGGTGCCGGGCTGTCACCCTCCGGGGGTGTCGTGTAGTTTTTTTTTTTTGGGGGGGGGTGGGGGTGGGGGTGGGGAGGGGGCAGATCCGCCGCCACCGGGGCTGAGCGGTCCCGGCCCTCCCGCCGCCGCTTCCGGGATACGCCCCACCCCCGTCCGTCACATGACAGCGGCACGTGAGCGGCCGGGAGATGGCGGCGGGCGGGAGGAGGCGGCGGCGGCGGCGGGCGGGAGGAAGAAGAGGAGGAGGAGGATGAGGAAGCGGCGAGGGGCGCGGTGCTGCGGCGGGTGCGGCAGGCGCGGTGAGTGCCCGCTCCCGCCCCGGGCGCTCCCGCTCCGGCGGCCCCCGCTGACCCCGCACCCCCCCCCCCCCCTTCCCCGCAGGGACGATCTTCTGAGCTCCGGCTTCTGGGCGGCGAGCGCCGGTGCGTGCGGGGGAAAGGAGCGGGCCCCGGTACCCCCCCCCCCCCCCCGCCCCCGGCACCCTTAACCCCCCCTCTCCCCGCCCGCAGGAGCCGTGCGGGCCCCGCTGAGCGGCAGCGCGGAGCCGCCCGCCCGCTGCGTCTGCTACGGGCTGGGGCGGTTCGGCGCCTGCCCGGCCGCCCGGCACCAACTCGCCTTCCTGCTGCTGCTGCTGGAGGAGCTGGGGGTGAGAACCGGGGCCGGGGGGGGCATGTTGCAAATCTGCAGGGTAAGAAAAACTCACCCACCCAAACTCAGAGAAGCAGGGAGGTCTTTTATTAACGATGCACAGCGGGGACGCGGGATCACGCCCAAAGGTGTCCACTGAAACTGTGTAATACTTGCACCCCAATGTTCTTTGTTCTCCTTTATTATAATAGGCATGCATACACTGTCTGCTTTTAATTGCTCATTATGTGCATACACTGTCCGCTTTTAATTGCTCAAAAGCTGCCCTTTACCTGCATTGGTTACTATTAGTTTTTACTTATTACATCACCACTGGATTATCAGTTCCTTATTCTCTGAACCATACATATTCATAAAAGTTACAAAGTCATTTGGCCATTTATCTTAAACTACTGACTACCTGGGCTCTTAGGTCACCACGGTTCAGGGTTTTGGGCGATAATCAACTTAATAGTACAATAAATGACACTTTCTTTCTGTTTTCTCCTCTTAGAACCATCTCTCCCAGTATTCTTTTGAATGTTTTATGGCCCTGTTACAACTCTGAGCAAAGCATCACATCACAGCATGTTCCCTTTCTTCTCAACTTCTCTTGCATATCCCTTCCCATGGGAACAGCTCACCCTGTTGCTACGGCCCAGCTTTACTCATTGCACTTGCTCTACTTACATATCTAGTTAAATCGTTAAACGCAATTTTTGAAACCCTAAGATTTTGTAACAAGGGGGGGGTGGTCCCCGCAGGTGCCACCCGGGCAGTGCTGCCTCTTCGATCCCGCCTTCTCCTCCCTGGAGGCGGCAGCGCTGGGGCAACTGGGGCTGCAGCTGCTCCCGGACAATGAGGTGAGGGGGGGGGGGGGGGTCAGCAGGGCCAGAGCGCAGCCCCTGGCCACCCCCCAGTGGGGCTCCCCGAGCCAGAGCACCCCGGGATGTGGGGCGGGGGGGGGGGGGCACGGGGCATCTGCGGTTGTAACAGAGAAGCACGGGGTTCCCGGGCAGGAGGGGAAGCACAGCGTGGAGGGCTCGGCCACGCTGTTCTACATGGTGCACTGCGGGAAAGCCTTGTACAACAACCTCCTGTGGAGGAACTGGTCTGCAGGGGCCCTGTCCAAAATGATCATCATCGGGAACAGCTTTAAAGGAATCGAGGAAAGGTGCGTGCAGCTCCCCGCTGGGACAGGTCTGGTGCCTCCAACACCATTTCCCCTACTCCTTATTGCTTCAGACAATGATTTCCACGTTTCGCTCCTTTTCAACTTGCTGTCATCAACCCTCTCCTACCTCTTCCATCCCACAACCCTGTTCAAAAAAGTTGTCTGAAGTTCACAGGAGCATGGTGCCTAATGCTGGTTACCTTGTGTCATTCTAGATTGTTGTCAAGAATATTGGAGAGAGATTATTCTTACATAGCAAAGGTATGAGTCACTAGTTTTTTAACATTATTGTTTTGAGAAAGGACATTAATTGGAGTTGAAAAGAAGAGAGTGGTATTTAAGGACAAGGACCTGCTCGAGCAGGGCCAGAGGAGGCCACGAAGATGCTGGGGGGGGCTGGAGCAGCTCCCCTGGGAGGCCGGGCTGAGAGAGTTGGGGGGGTTCAGCCTGGAGAAGAGAAGGCTCCGGGGAGACCTTCGAGCGGTCTCCCAGGGCTTAAAGGGGGGACAGGAAAGGTGGGGAGGGACTCTGGGTCAGGGGGTGGGGATGGGACGAGGGGTGATGGTTTTAAACTGAAAGAGGGGAGATTTAGATGAGATCTAAGGCAGAAATTCTTCCCTGTGCAGGCAGTGAGGCGCTGACCCAGGGTGCCCAGAGAAGCTGTGGTTGCCCCCTCCCTGGAAGGGTTCAAGGCCAGGTTGGACGGGACTGGGAGCACCCTGGGCTGGGGGAAGGTGCCGGGGCATGGCACTGGGGTGGGGGCTTTAAGGTCCAACCCAAACCATTCCATGGTTCTGTGATTTTTTTGAAGCCTTTTTTCCTGGCTGCTACAATATAAAAACGAATTGCTTTAGGATCTTTCTACATTACCTGCAGACCATGCTGCAGGCAGGGGCCTGGATTAATGTAACACCATCCTCACCAACTCTGAACTTAGGGGAACTTTTCTGCCATGTCGTACGTAACTTTTTGCCCAAATGCTCTTTAGGTCTTGAAAGGGGCTGAGGAAGTGGCGCTCCCCACTCACCCTCGGTACCTGGACACGTTTAACGACACCGCCGTCCACTGGTTTCCCTTGCAAAAACTGGAGGAGCTCTCCCCTGAGGTCTGGGACTGCGTGGAGGAGCCGACGTACCAAGACTGTGACGACCTGGAGATCATCAGAAAGGAGGTGAGCGCCGAGCGGCGCAGCCCGGCTGCCGCCGAGTCCTGACCGCTCCCTGCAGCGGGGGGGCCTCAGGGCTGCAGCTCTTCTCACGGCACCTTCTGCGCAGCCAAGGTGAAGCTCCAGCACCCAGAGTGTCCTCGTGCTCCGCCAAGAGTGGCGGCACCCCAGCACTGAGCGTGCTGGGACATTTTTGTATCTTGATTATTCAATAAAAGGTAAAGCTGTGCTTTGACTTACACTCACATAACTACAGCGAACAAATTTAACTAAAACCTGCCTTTTAAGCCATCCGTACTGAATGATTGTTCTTTTGATCCCCTCCCCTTTCATGCACAGTTCAAAGCCTGTGCACACGCTGAAGCATCAGGAAGAGGGAATTATTTGAGAGGGGTGGGTAGCTGAAGGCAGCAGTGTCTAGTTTCAAATGCTGGTTTATAAAAGCTCTCACAGGCAGGGGCCTTCAGCTGAAGTCAGCTCTTTATGCATTCTGTGAAGAATCAGGTCACCTCCCTCTAAGGAAATAAAGCCTGTGAACTGGCTGGAAAAAACGCCCCCAGCTTCCAGCTCTGCAGTGACAGGGTAGAGGGGTACACGGAGCCCCCAGCACACCCAGAGCGAGGTGGGACAAGTCCTGGCTGGGCACAGTGGAGAGGAGCCCGCTGCGTGGGGACAGTAACTCTCACTGCCAGAGCAGTGCAGCAGGTGAGAAGCTGTGACATCTCTGTTGCCAGAGGCCTCCCACGGTCCCTTCTAACCTGATGATAAAACCTCTCACACAAGCATCAGAACCGCCTGTGCCTCCCTTAGCACCAACTTCCACACCTAATTTCATCTCCTGACAGTGCCTGAACAGCTCTTCTAAGAAAAAAATCCCGGCATACAGCTGGAGTTTCACTCTATTTACAAATCTGTAACTTCTTTATTTTAAGACAGTTACACTAAAACTACTATCACGATGGTCTTCACAGTTCAAAGCGGGGCCCTCACTTCGCCATGTCAATGAGGCTCTGGAGAGAGGTTGGCACCCAAGTCTTTTCTCCTTGTACAAACACAACGCCTCTGTCGATGTAAATGACAATCCGTCCAAATGTATACAGCTGTTTCCCTTCGTGCCGCTTTCCAATCACAGGCATGAAAACAATGTTGTGCTCCTCTGCTTTTGTCTGAATCAGGTCCTTAAAATTCATGGGCACAGAGCTGGCGGCCATGCCGATGCCGCGCTGGGCCATGTTCTCAGCCTCGCGCCGCTCCTGCATGGCTTCGTACTGAAAGTCCTTCCTCCGCTCGGTGTGAGTGAGGTAGGCGATGTTCTCCCGAGCGCCTGGCTGCATGTACCCACCTGTGTGGAGAGACACATGTGAAAACAAGGTCCCAGGCTGCTTCTGGTGGAGGGTGTATGGGTAAAACCCAGTCCAGGACACATACAGTGGCATCAATCAATAATGCTCCGGACCCTCCTTTACACATTCTAATTCATTACGTTTTATACTGTTATTGCTAATACAACATACACTAGCTAGGTGAGTTTGAGAACTGCATCAGAAGCAACAGGATTTGATACAATCCCAAATCGTATCTGAGCATGCACAGGAAAGGAGGATGCTGCACTGCTACCGGCAAAGGGAAAAACGTGAACAAGAACAGCAACAAAAAAAAAAAAAAAAAAAAAAAAAAAATACTCCCCAAAGCCAAAACCCAGCCCGTGGTCTCCAAACGCCACTGCTGAGTTACAGGCAGTGGCTGTTGCAAAATCAGGCCGAGGCCGGAGCAGAACCCTCCTGCAGGAAGCAGTGTTGCATCAGGAGCACTTTCGCTACCAGCCCCCCCCAGTTCACTTTTTGGCTGCATGACTATCAGGCCAGAAATTTCCCAACAGGTGAACTCCTCCTTGTGCAACGCTCGCCTGTAGCTGTATCATTTTACCACAGAAATAAACATAACGCTTAAAATGGGCCTCAAGGAATCCTCCACTTCTGAGGCAGATTCTCCATCACGCTGTACAGCAGGAGGCAGCAGGAAAGGAGTTCTCGGTCTCAGAGGGCAAGGCAAACCTCAGGTGTTGCTCCCTCAGGCACAGCCTTCTCTTTTACAGAGTTTAATTCCCAGCACATTCCTAACAATTTCTTAGGTCACGGGGAGGGTCATGGAGAAGGAAAGGGTGCTGCTCTAAAGCTAAGGAGCACCACTGGTATCTCACAATAAAGAAAAAAACCGCAACAAATTACCGCTTTGGAAGTCAACATCTTTAAACAGTGGTCTCTGACTGACATAAAATACACCATAATCAGGTAAGGCTGAAAGAATCAGTTGCTTAATGGCACAGGCAGCCAGTCACCAAAAATCTGCTTCTGCTTCAGTGAAGCACAGCCAATCATCAAGTAGCACCTTGCAGGTATTACTTACGGACACAGCAAGGTAAAATACACTCTGAATTTCACTGCTCATGGGAGCTGCTACACTCCCCACTAGCAGGGCCGTGCCTAAACAGACTCACAAGAACCAGACATGGCTGTGCTGCCATCACAGCAAGTGGAGCCGTTACCATAAGCCACCTACCCACACTGGAGGAGACAGCCCGGTTCATGATATCAAGAGCTTCATTAAATTTGTCTTTGATCGATGGATGTGCTAACACTTGGTCTGAGAACATGGACTTCCAACCCAAGTACCACTTGGTGATTTCTTCATAGTTGGGGCTGTTACTAAGCCAAGAGCACAGCACCTGCAAAACAACACAAATGCAGCAGGTCAGGTACAGTTACGGAGGAGAGTCCTTAATATCACTTAGTTTATTACTGAGAAAAGAAAGGACTTTGACAGTCTTAGGAAATAGTCTGTTCTGACACGTATGGAGCTGTGAGGGGAAATCACCCCCATGTGGTAGTTAAACCAATTCAGCACTGGGGCAGCAGTCACTAAATCACTTGACAGTGAATCCAGCCTGTTTACTCAGCCTCCATAGTTTCTCACCTGCAGCCACTTTGGGAAGAAGTGTTTCTCCAGCAGCCCAACAAGACTGGAGACAGAAATCATCCCCTCCCAGTCAATCACCCAGTAGAAGGCATCCATGTGCTGCTGGTGAGGGTTTATGATGAGTTCATTCAAACACATCCCTGGGAAAAGCAGGAAAAGAGTTAGAAAAGGACTTGGTTCAGCTTTATCAGTGCCCTGACCTATTTCACTAGCAACACGCGTGATTTGAGGAGCACCTGTATTGCGTATTACCCTAAGGGACATTCAGGATCTTTAAATGGATTGGCTGATCCCTGCCACCAAAACAGCACACTTCCAGTGATTACAATTTGCTGCCAGAACTGAGGCACTTAAAGTGTTCGACTGTTTTTTAGGCTACAGAGCCTTTTAGCCAGTTCACATGGCTGAAAGGTGAAGTACAAAATCTTCTGGTGAAAGCATTCGCATAGAGCAAAGAATACAGGAGTAACAGAGAGACATTTTATAGCTTGGTACTATCTGACAGCTATCAGATAGTCCTGTCAGCTGAAGAACAGAGAAATCGGGTGATTTAGAAAAATAAGACAGAAAACATTGAGAATAATCAGAGAACTTCCCCATGTTTTCTAAAATGTCTGCCTCAAAAAGCCGCATAGTACTAGGAGCACAAAAAAAGATGCAAGCTTGGTCTAAACTTACTAATAATGTTCTCTGAAATAACACTGGCAACCAGGTCAACACGAATCTGTTCTAGGTCTAAGGGGGAAGGTGGCAACCAGCGGATTCCAGAATTCAGCACTGTTTGGCTTGTCTCACCTAGTTTAGGCACGATGTTTTTGACCATGAAAGCCTCCCAGGACCCAGGTGTGAACACATCTTTCCAGGGCTGAAGGATAAGTTTGGCGGAGGAGTCGCTGGGATGCCACTTCTGCAGAGCATTCGCCAGTTTGTTTCGGATGGGAGAATACAGCGGCTCTAATCGAGCCTGCATCAGGGGAAGCCAGGGATGGATCCACGAATGAATTGGGACTGTGTCTGTCAGAGGATTCCAGCTTTCAACCTTGACGTAAAACAGGAAAGAAGAAATTAAGTCCACCCATTAGCAGTAAGTCTTGACTGACACAAAAAGAGCCATAACACAACCTCCTAAATCCTAAATGCATTGGCAGAGGCAGCAAATTGGTATTTAACAAGCTCTAGTTGACCAAAATTCAAATGCTAGTTCAGAGCACTGCCTTGTTCCGACGTAGCCCTCTCGTCTTACCTCCTTCTGTAGCTTGGGGAAGATGAGCTGATCCAGAATGTTATCCAGTATCCAGACAGGAACGACGTTTACCCAGCTATCCAAGAAATCCACCATCGATCCACAGTTCCTCGGTTGCCACTGCGCCACGATGTTTCTGACATATGGCATCCAGATTTCCCACATCAGCCTGGGAAAAAAAACCCATAATAAATCAAAGTTAAGCTTAAAGCCATAGCCCCAGGCGCAGATAAACCAAATGGCAACTGTTATTTAAAAGCTACTTCTTTTTATATAGCTGACAGCTGGATTTTAACAGACACATCAAGAGAATCATCTGGAAAGCACACGTGTATCTGTGCTTTTCCATCCCTGAGGAAGCAGCACTTGAAGATGCTGCACAAAGTACAACGCATTTGCTCTCTACCTGTGAAAAGCATCTGTTGACAGGTCCTGCCCACTGTGTGATAACAGCTGATCGTTTTCCAAAAGGCTCTTCCACTTGGCTATGATCTCCGTGCCATACGTACAGTCCTGGAAATAAAGCATGAGCAGTCTTGATCCTTTTTCATTAATTTCAGCTGGTATCTACAAAGAGCAGGCTGACAGTACGTTTGGCTAGAGACAGCTTTCTCACCCACTCAAAAGGCAAGCCAGGAGCTTGCAGCTGTGATTGGTCAAGTCCCACAAGAGGAAAATCCCACTTTATGGAATTAACATACCTCCAAAGCGGGGAAGAGGACAGGCAGAACTTTTTTAGGTGTACAGAGAGAATTCAGACTCTTACCTATCAGAGCCAAAATGGCATTAAGAACAGACAACGCGTATCTGACTACCTGAAAGACAGACTTCTGCTTTTGCTAAAAAAACAAGAACTAGAGACTTAGCTTTCATCTACTTTTTCTTCCCAGCACCCATGAAAGGGATTTTAACCTTACAAACTCCTAAATTGTTAGCCACTCCGCAGAACAGCAGCCTTCAGTCACAGCTAATATCTGAGAGGGAGTGCAGAATGGATTTTTTGTTTGGGTTGTTTTTTTTTTTTCTTTCCAGACTGATCAGGAATCTGGGACAAGGAGTGGGGGCAGCAGTTAAGACATTAAAGTCAACTTAAGCCATCAAGTAAGAACTACAGATAAATCTAACTAGTACACACCTTGAGGGGATCCCAGTTCTTGAAGTAATCTTTCATGAGAGGATAGACTATTGCTACTGCCAGGTCCACCCTATCAGACATTCTGTACTCTTCATAGTACTTGTCTTGAAGTGTCTCAAAAATCTTTGCACACTCATCCAAGGTTAAGGGATTTTCACAGCTGGGCTGCATCCGTCTCTCACACTCTTCCACCATCTCCAGCACCTTGCTGAGATTGCTAATGGCTTTCTCCTCATGGGAGAGAACTTCAGACATCTTCTGTATCTCATGGGTCAGGTTGACAACCATGTCTCTCTCGTACTGCAGCTGCCGGTCGTTCTGGATGATCTCCTGCTCTGTGATGTCAATGAGAAGTTGCAAGTTGTGCTCCAGCTCAGGCAAGGCAAATCCCTGGGGCTTGGAGTCTTTGCCCAGTGGCTGCTGAGGACTGTCATCTGGGATATTGTGCTTGTGGCTAATTTGACTGTAGCTGTAATAAACCTTTTGTTCCCGGCCCGTCATGTCTATAACCTTCCAACAAACAAGAACAAGCATGTCTTAAAAAAAATAATAGTATCCTGTGTTTAAAAAAAAAAAAAGAAGGAACTCCCTGACTCCAAATGGAAACCTGGAGGTTTCTGAGTACCTTAATTAGTCCAGGAGGCTACTAATACACACTGGTATTCCAAATGAGGCAACTGCAGACCGCCTCCAAAAAGGCCAACTCCAGAATAAAGACTCAGAACGAGTAAGAAACAATTTGGAATCAGAGCTGGAAGAGTCTCCTCTTCTGATCTCAGTTTTACCATTTCACTGAGTAATTCTACAAGCAGGTGTGATTCCAGTGCTATATTATTTGCTACTGCATGGAAGTCCCAGGTACTTTTATATTTTTTAAAGACATGTTGATTTTAGATGAATAATTTTATTAAGTGCATAAAAGACAAATCCCTTACTGTCCCTTTTAGGTAGATGGTTCAAAGGGTGTTTAGTTGCACAATCCCAGTAAGGACAACTGTGCTTTCAGAAGTAGCTGAGCATTTTATTTATGGGAAACATGAAACAATTAAACTTGATTTGCAATTTAACCTCCTTACACATTTAAGCTAATTTGCATTTTCCTGAGGCCAAAGAAGTTGCTTAGGAACAAATCCAATGTCCCAGGTGACACTGTGGTCTATTACATGATTCGCTGAGGAGTCCAAGACCTTGATTTTCATGAGGCTGCAGACAAGCGGTTCTTACAGCTGGCTCCCATTAAGATTACCAATGGCTAAAAAGCACTCACAATGCCAAAGTGGACAAACCGTTTCCCAGAGATGGCATCAACCTTACCTTGACTTGAGACAGCTCCTTCTGAGGGGCTGAAAGCTGCTTGCTGATCCTACCCTTGGCTTTCAGTTCTTCTACTGTCTTGTAGCTGTATTTTGGCTTTTTCTTGCCTCCAGTAGGATCCTTCCGCCACTGACTGAGCTCTTTCTGAAATTCCTAAACAACAACAAAGAAGAATTGTGGTTGCAGTTCTCCTTCATGCCTCAAATTTGCCTCTATTTTCTACATGAAAATAACCATCGGACCAATGAAGAATGCTGTGCAGCAAAACAACTGGAAAAGTAGTAAGGTTCAGTGACAAACCAGCACGGATGCTGTGGTCCAGTCAACCACCCTATTCACAACGCTAACAGTATGTTTCTGGTCTTTTTTTATTTTAGACAAAAGACAGACTATTTATTGGGGGGGACCGCTCAAAGGCGGGGTTCTAGCAAGACTACTGGCACAAGTGAGCGAGAAACAACAAAAAGAACGTTACAGTGACATGAAAAATATGTCTAAATGAAATTCAAGTGCTATGTCGTTGGCTTCTCTAAAATGAGCCCAGTTTGCTCTGACATAGAAGCTAGTATTAGCGCTGAATTGTGCACATACAACACAACAGGGAAACGGATATCCCAAGAATCATACAAATACCTCTTCAGCTTCTTCTTCCGAGTCCACAACAGGGAAGTCTTGCAAAGACTGGCTGGTTCTTTCCGAGCCGTATGCCCCCACAGCTCCTTTGCCTTTTCTCTGTTTGGCCTCAATCGGATTGATAATACCTGAGAGGACAACAGTTTGATCAGAAAGAACAGTTTATTTACTGAGAGGGAACAGCAAGCGTTTTTCTTACAGTACCCTAAGTTATCAAATCAGAACAAACATCCAGCCTGGTATTCTGCCTCTATCACTATGATATCTTCTACCACTTCACTAATTTCTTAGTGGCTATAAAATCACTTAATTCTAGCACACACACAAAAAAAAAAAACAAAGCAGAGTATTATTCACATCTGCATTTTACTGCTTTTTTATTCTATCACACAGAATAACATCTCCTTTTCTAGATGAGCTGACTACCGTTGGAATTTTATCTCCCTTCTTTCCTCCTCTTTCTCTCTGGCAAAATAACAAGAGCATAAAACAGGACTATCTTAAATTAAATACAATAGACTCTTATCATGAGGACCCAGATCACTTAGAAGAGATGCACCAAAACACAAAGTTGTAAGCCACCTGCAGATGGCAGTTCTTTAGAAGAATCCTCTCTTCTTCAAATTACTAGCTAACAACCAGACACACAATCACAGTACCTTGAGCATTCTTCCCGAGACCTCTTCCAGGGACGTAACCCATCTTCTGGAGCAGCTTCTGCCCAATTCCTTTAGTGTGTCTCTCCCAGCTGCCAAAATCCACAAAAGATTTTGTCCCCCCGACAAAGCCCTTCTGACTAGGCTTGAAATTACCACCCTGTTAAAACAAATAAACAAAAAACCCCACGCAACCATAAGGCATTGTAATAACCAAGCTGTGTATAATTTCACTCAAAAGGAAGGTTCTTCCCAAAAGCAATTCAGGTGTCTCAGCTGATTCTGAGCTCAGTTCACTATGTCAAAAGCCACTTGTGCATCCATCTAAGCTGCCTACCACCTGAAGAGTTTCCTGAAATTCCTTAGATACAACAGAAAAGTCCTGAAAAGCTTTGACTGACAACCTAACAGTTATTAGGCTCTACCCCTGACTGTAGCTGAAGCCGATTCATGATAAAAATCAAAAGAGTTTGATTTTTAACCTACAACATGCCTAGATTTGCCATACTGTTCTGTGGGATTAATAAAAAAGTCTTTGGAATTTTAGCTACCAAAAGAGAGGACGTAAACCACGGGAATTCTTTTATTTTAACCTGAACTGACCAAAGGGAGTAGTATGAAGGAAGATAAAAGGGCCCAAAAAGACTGATGTTACCAAGGACATGCAACGATACATCAGAATAGTTCCACAAGACAGAGAAAACATCTCCCTTAACTGCACGCCATCACGTGTGGGGCTCTGGTTTTAATTTTTTCTCCCTTTCTTTAGTGCTCTACTATTGTTTCAGTGCCTTTGGGTATAGCCTAGGTTTCACAGACACATTACGCGGAGCTGAAAACCTCCTGGATAACTCACTGTTTTTAACTTCTTTGGCACAAACTCTTTAGGGATTTCCTCCTGCTTAACAGGCTTTTCATCTTCATCAGAGTCTTCATCCGACACGTCCTCAGCTGCTGACTTTTTCAGCCCGGCGCTGATGAAGTTCACGGGGGCCGAGTAATCCCGGGAGCTACACCAAAACAAGACCTGTGAGTGAGTTCTGTCCCAGCAGAAGCCCGGCGGCCGTTGTGCCTTAGACACCGCCCTTCAGAAGAACTATTAAAAACTGACACGCAGTTTGATGCTGTTTTTGCCACGAAATAACCGTTCTCTCCCCCCGGGCAGCAGGGATATGCTCGCACAGGCAAAGCCCCCACAGGCAGCCCCCACCTCGAGACGTGCTGTTCGGGAGGGTCGTTAGAGCCCTCCCCGAAGCGGCGCGGCCCCGCGGACCCACCCGTGGGGGGGCTCCACCGGCCCCCCTTACCCCCCCCTCCCCGCCGCCCCCGGCCCTCACCGCTTGCCGCCGAAGCTGGGCCGCTCCTCGTCCGAGTCGCGCTCGGCCCACACGCCGTAGGTGGCCTCCTCCTTGCTCTGCCGGTGGCGCTGCCGGTGGGGGTTGAACTCGTTCTGCAGGTCCCAGTCCGACACCTCGAAGTTCTCCATCTCCACGCCATCTTCCCCATCCGTGCCGTACAGGTGCGACATGGACATGGCGCCTGGGGGCAGCCGCCCCCCCGCCCCGGCCCGCACACGGGGGCACCCCCCGGCTCGCACGCGGACCCCCCCAAAAACCTCCCGAGCACCCCCCAGCCCGCACACGGGGACACCGGTTCCGCCAGCCCGTCCCCGCTCCTCCCGCTTCTTCCCGGAAGTGAACAGCCTACTTCCGGCTTTAGCCACGCCCACCACCATCGAGCCGGTAGTACCGCCCACTTTAGGGCCTCACGGGCAGCGGCTCCTCTATGGTTTGGCGGGCCTAGGCGGCCTGCCCCTCTATTGGGACGGGGTGGGGGTGAGGCCGGGCCCCCCCGGGAGCATAAAGGGCAGAGCCTGTGCTTATTAAAACAATATTTTAATGGTGTGCAACAAAGGAAGGAGGCGGGGGGGGGGGCGGGCTCATATATTAACTCTGCAATAGCCTCTGTAAGTCACAGTGAAGGGCTGTGGGGAGCGGGGTGGGGGGGGTGTGGGGGTGTCACTCGCACGACAAAGGCTCCCCAAGGTCAGCGCGCCCATTTCTGACCCGCGTTAGGAGACGTTGAAATGCGACAAAACCCGCCGACCCCCCAGGCCAGGACGGGATTCCCGCAGGCGATGCCACCGCCCAGCGCGCGGCCTGCCCAACGCTCGGCCTTTGCAAATAAATGCAAATGCATCCATCGTACGCGGCAGTCGTTTTGGCAAGAGTAGGAGCAAGCAATATGCTTGGATAACCGATTTCCACGGGTGCCGTTGCAAATTCTTCTTTGTCGGGCAACAAAAGGCCATTTGCAGCATTCTGGAAAGAGAGAAACACGGAGTCAGAAGCAGGAGCCGGTCACGCCGGCACAGCAGGTGCCCGACGGGTGGTTTTAAAGCAGCTGTGATAACAAAAAAATGGTTAGAAAAACCCGAATCCCAGCTCCGGGATAATGGGCACACAACTTCTATTCTCACGCAACGCTTCTGATACTTTTTTGGAATGATATACTGCTTTTACATAGAAGCTAGTTTTTAAAGGGTCACTTTTAGTAATTTTTAGACATTTTATGACTTAGCGTAGAGGCTGGCTGAAAAGAGAGAAGGAAAAACATCCAACACATCAACAGTTGCATCTGGAGCAGAAACCTAGAGTAGCAGCTTTGTTTCTCCAAACCGACGGCAGATGTGACTGCTTTATCTTCCCTTCCACGGGTCCACGGCACGTCCTAGAAGACAGCTGGGGAGCAGCTCAGCTCATCTACACATTTCCACATCCCCTCTCTATGTTCCCCGTGGGGACAGTCAGTAATAACTCTCCCAAGCGGCTGACTTCGATTTTGCTGAAGTAAGTCTGTTTCCAGAGCTCAGAAAAATAATTTCTGACAAACTGTCTCACATAACAGTATTGTTCTCAAAACCTAAAGCAACTGTGAAAGGGATCATTTGCATAACGAGCGTGCCTGGAGCAGACTGGCTAATCCAGGGGCACAAGAAATTACACAAGCAAAATGCTACCCCTGAAGCAAAGCAGGAAGATTTGCCTGAGTCCCCACATGAAGTACAAGGTCTTACCTGGAAATCATTAATTTTCTTAGTGAGAAGATGATGTGTTCTGAGTCACCTAGAATAACCCGGAAACAGAAGGGTCAGCTTTAAGCCACCATCTGCAACTGAAAACATTCCCGCTGCGTTCCCAGCAGCAAGAAAAGGAAATGTTTAAGGGACAGAAATCAGCACAAAGGTAGAGAACCAGCAGCCAGGAGATGCTGCCACGAGACTGGAGACTCTGGCTTCGCTACTGTTCGCGCAACACGAACCACCCTGGGCGACACGTCTCGCAGGGAGAGCCACTGCATGCCTGCTTCAGCAGTGGCCCTGCTTCCTCCAGGGACCGGGCTCTGCACCTTCTCGCCCGACGCAGGCGATGCAGCTAAATCCCCCTGCTCTCTTTAGGAGGCCACATGTCAGGCAGGTAAAACCTGGCACCTTTGATCGAAAAATCAACACCAATCTACGGCATCTCCATACTGTGCAGGTAGCGCCTTCTGGAGAGTCAAGAAGTCTTGTTGTTTTGGGGTTTTTTTTTTTCAGTCTGTATGTGCAATGGCTGTCGGACTGCTCTGCATTACAAAAGATGGTTATTAACTGATTTCAAGCACTGCTCCTTAGGGAGGGAGCCCCACAGTGTGTTTTTGACATCCGAACACAATCACCCAAGCACAACTAGAAAACCTATCTATAACCTTTAAATCAGACAAGCCACCCCTCCCTAAGGCAGGCAAGACCCACAGCAATGAAAACTTTAAGAGTTTTGGAACAGAGAGCAAGGCAGAAAGTGTCTTAAAATAAGAGAATGAAGAGCACAAGTTTCTAATGAGTGAACACAGAACTCCACAGCAGGAAACCACACACACAAGCAGACCAGGAAGGAGGTGGCAGAGGTGAACGAGCAGGGTCTGAGGAGCACAGAACACAGGGGACATCAACGAGCGTGGGTGTTAGCGGCGCACAGCAGGAAGGACAGGGACATTGTCCCCACAGACCCAGGCAAGAGAGCAGGGATGCTTCCCGCAGCCGGCTGCCCAGCCTGCAGATGCCCATAAGAGGGAGCAAGGGACCAGGCACCCAGGATTAAACCAGCAGGCCAAAGCCCTCAAAGGGACATCAGACCCTTACCTGCAGGTGACCTTTCAAATTGGCTGGCGTTTTATAATCCCCCTTTAAAACCTATGGAAAAGAGAAAATTGGCATGACCATTCTGGGGTAGTGGCCCTGTGACCATTGGCAAGTCCACCTCATTAACTGTGTCCTGTGTTCCAGTATACCTGAACCAGCTGAAATACCCTGATGCGTGTTTGCTCTACATTGTGGTGCTATACTGGGGCAAAAGTGGGAAGTTTCCTCCTTAAGCAAAAACAGGGAGTGGCATCCTTCTGGGGAGGGAACCGACACGAGCAATCCTCTGGTTCCCCCCCTTAGCCTGGGAGGGGAGAGTATTTTTGTCTTTGCCATCATGCTAGTTCTCCAAAATCATCCCAGGAAGTACTGAAAGGTCCACATCAGGGACACAGAGTCCCTAACCCTGCCCAGGGCAGACATTCACCCAAATCACCTTTGTCCTTGAACAGCTCTCAGCAAGCAGAGAGAGCGAGGAGGAGCTGTAAGAGACCAGCCTGGAGCACAGGCCAGCTCCAGAGAAGCTCTTCCGACCTTCCAGGTCAGTGCTGCTACTTGCCTGCCTGCCCAGGATCTGCTCACATGGGGACCAGTCCCACCCGCAGGCGTTCCCCTGCTCCCACTGGTGTAACAAAGGACACCTCGTCCAAGGGCACCGTCATGGGGAGCACGTGCAAAGCTGGGGGGGCTGCAGAGTCCAGCCTCTGGCTGGGGAGGAACCAGTCCACCCCAAAGCGTGAGAAACTCCCTGTTTAGTAACTGCTGTCTGTGGCTCCACAGCTTCTTTCCTTCCAGTTCTGCTCCAGGGTTGTGAGTCAATATTCTAAAAAAAAAAAAAAAAAAAGAACCCCAAACCTCTTCTGGTTTTGCCTGAATGCATTACGAGCCTCCACTCGCATTCCCTGCGGGACTTGTGGGAGTGGCTGGTGAGCTACCCACGGACATGGCACAGTCTGGGCGTCCTCCTGGGGCCAGACCAGCGTCTCTAGTGCCCCGGGCTGTGCGCCCAGATAACATCAGCACACACCAGTAACTCCCACGCCTGGGTTTGCGAGCGGCAGCGCTGGGTCAGGGGGGGACAGGTCACTATCTGCCACAACAGAAGAAACGAACACCACCACGAAATCATAGGGAACTTCATCAGCCTGAGCCACGCCAGACTCAATCTACCGCACACATCTGGTCTGAAATCATCTCGCTCTAACTGCGTGTCAGTCACTCCCAGTCTCCCAAAAGGAAGAGAGCGTTTGTTTCTCCGCTGCTCTTTGGCTCAGCGGCCTCCTCCGCTCCAGAGGGCTCTGTGGGTGCAGAGACCCACGGCCCCCCCGTCAGCGCTCCCTCCCCGCAGGCAGCGCCACTCACTCTGTGCGTGTTGTTGACAACTAAGGGGTCGGGGTGGCCGTAGTTGGGCGGGTTGGCGTAGGGGTCGTAGCCGAGCCTGGCGAGCATCGGTGCGATGTGGGCCATGTCCTGCAGCACGTCTCCCGGAATGTGCCCGATCCATTTAGATAACGCCTCCATGTTCACCGGCTTGATAACCTGGTCTGTTGATCTTTCTATCCTGGGGAAAAATAATAAAGAAAACCCCAAACCCAGACACCAAAGTCGGATTTGCTGGGCTCAGACAGAAGGGCTAGAGGCTCACTGCCACCTCAACATTTTGCTTCCCATGGCCAAGACGCGCGTGCAGCGCAAATGCTCAGCACCCACCGGGTCTGCCTGGGACAGAGCCGGTGTGAGGCACAGCGGGGCAGCCCCTTCCCACTCACAGCTCTGCTCTGGGGCACGAACCCTGGCAGGGGGTTCCACAGCCCCAAAGGTTGGGTCCCCTTTATGGGGGGGATCCATCCTGCACCGGGCTTGGGGTGTTACCAGGACACCTCCGCTTATTACAGTTAAATAATGGAAGACGTGTGCTCTGTAGCACAGATACACCATGTGACCCCACTGAAAATCCAAAACCTTATCTGTTTAGGCAACCTTGGTAAAATTTACTCTGAGCAAATAGTGCTGAAAGCCCTGGAGAAATCATCGCTTCAGCCATCGAAGGTGCCTGCAACTCTCTCCCCTACACCACAGCCGCCTTCCCCACTTGGGCACGAGCAATTTATACAGAGACTGCGCTTGTACAGTTCCCTTTCACCACTGATTAAATTTTGCTAAGTTAGACTTAAGCCTCTATTTAGAAAATAAAGAACATTAAAAAAGGAGAAGAAGGCGGGAGAAGGCAAGCACTCCCCTGGCACCCAGAGAGAGCCAGCCAGCAAGGAGAGAGTGCTGGGGTGTGTCTCCATGGAGCAGGTATTTCTTTTATTCTGCAATACCAGCACCAAACCCGGCAAGAATTGCTGCTCGCTGCTGAAAGCCATTCATTAGCAGCAAAACTAATCGCAGTAAGGAGGTATTTTGAGGACGGGTGGAGAAAAGAGGCATTAAAGAGCTCACGTTTCAGAGCAAGCAGTTCTTCTCAAATTAGAGACCAAAATCATTTCTGCACTGTCAAGAGACGTGAATAAAGCAGTCACCTGCTCCTAAAATCCTCGCCTGACAAGCTGGGTACAACAGATTGCTAGTATTCAAGCTGTCTTCTACTCAGAAACACAAAACCTACTGCAGCAAAACTGGACGTGCTGCCACTTCTGCCCCTGAAGCAGCATGCGTAAACACAAGCAACGCGTCTTTGCCCCCACTTTTAGACTTGACCTGCTTCGTGTAATGACGACGCTCCTCAAAAAGCCGAGGCAGGAGCTGAGGCACTCACTTGGAAAGCGACACCCCGCCGGGCTTCCCGATCAGCTCCTCGTGGTGCAGCACCGTGTCGCTCCAGGAGATGTCCAGGAACTTCATGATGGCATGCATGGACTGCTCGGGGTGCAGCACCAGCTGCTCGTAGTAGACGGGCAGGCACCGGGACCGCCCGATCTCCAGGCACTGGGAGTACATCACCTCGATGGCTTTGTTCCACTTGGTCAGGCAGTCGCGGTAGCTGTTCAGGTCAAAGCCCGCGATCGTCACCTTCCGCGTGATCATGGAGTGGACCGAAGCCCGGCCGTCTCGAACCATCAGGAGGAATTTGGAATTGGGGAACAGCCTGGACAGGTAGACAGAAGACTTCAGCGTGAAGGGGTCCTTGTTACATAAATACCTGGCTGGCTCGCCGTGCTTGGCGATCACTTCCAGTATAAAGGCCTGCATGGCGGCATCCAGAACTTGGTCTGTCACCCCCGCTTCGTCCAGGCGCATCTTCTCTCGCCCCGATTTGGACCAGGCCTGCCGCATCGCCAGCACGCGGGGGATGATGCGGGTCTCCTCTCCGCAGCGCACCTCGGGGTGGGCATCGAGCATGGCCCTCATCAGAGTCGTGCCGCTCCGCGGGACCCCGCCAATGAATATCAGGGGCATCTCCTTGCTGTAACGGTACTCGACGTGGTTGGAGTCCACCATGACCAGCTCCTCGTTCTCGGGTCTCATCAGCCTGTGCCTCCTCTCGCTCAGGACCTGCTGGCACTCCAGGACCTGCTGGCCGAGGTGCAGCGTCACCATCAGGGCGACCACCGAGCCCACCACCAGCAAAACCCTCCTCATGGTGACCCGCATCCTGTTCTGCTCCGCACAGGCTGGTGACCACGCTTCAGCTTTCGGCTAGCAAGCGTTCAACCCGACGGGCATCTGCAAGAGAAACAAGAGCAGGGTCAGGGGAGCCGCAGCCACATCCCAGCCCGCTGGCACCTCAGCGTCCAGCTCCTTCGGGGTGCTGACACCATCCCAGGCTTTCATCATCTCTTTCACTTATCAGCAACTTCCAGGCTAGGTGCCTTCTACCCAGGAGGTAATTAAAGTCTGCCTCAGAGCACACCCAAAGATCTTATTTCTGGACTGTTTGTGAACCCAGAAACACAGGTTTACAGCTGGAGCAAAGCTCTAAGAACATTTTGGAGAGGAGGGGCCACGCGTACCCAGTCAGTCCTTTGAAAAAATCTTTACAGAGAGTTCCACCCCAGATGAAGCTCAAACCCTCCCTTCAGTTCTTCCTTCCTTCCAAAAACTGAGCTCAGCACACCACCGTCTTCTCACTTCTCTCAGCCACCTGCCTCCTTCCTACATTTTCTTTAGCTTCAATATGCTGTCACAGGGGAAGGGTGAAAGCTGAAATAAGAGAAAAACAAAGGCATCTCATGCAAATTTTAAGGGTCTGAGTCAGGAGAGGCAGCTACCCATTAGAATGAAACACTCTGAGAAATTAAACCATCTGAAAGCTAACAGCAACACACAGAGTCAGCGTTAAATGCCCTTCCTCCAGAGACTGACCTTACACAAAAATCCTTGAAGACTTCATCTGGCATTAAGGCTTTGGGGGTTTTCTGCCTCTCGGTAGGATATCCAGCAGGAATCCTGCAGTTTCTGCAAGTCCCCCGCTCTGCTGCCTACCAGGGAGGGACTCCTGCGAACGCTGGCACCGCTTCCCACACCCTCCCCACTTCTGCTCCATTTGCGAGCACAGGTTTTGCAATCCTCCCCGGGGCTCACCCGGGGATTGCCAGTTCTTTGTGATTATGTGGCTGGGGCGGGAGCTGAATGGAGTGGAAGGAACGGGACGTCCATGCGTTTTGTTTTGCTGACAGTCCAAAGAACTGCTTCGGGGAAACGTTTTCTCCTCTCGACCCTCTCCATGAAAGAGCACATTTAGCAGTGGCCCGTGCAAAGGCGCTTTGCGGCGGGGAGCGAGCAGGAGAGCGGCCCCTGAGCCAGGCAGCCCCCCCCTGCCCTCCCTGCCAGCCCCAGCATCGGCCGGCGCTCCAGGACGTGCTCCGTTCCCCTGACAGACATCCCATTCCATCGACCCAGACTGGTGAAGCGCCCGGCTGCCCATCACCACCCGCCCTGCTCTCACCCACTTCTGCTCACACCATCGGGTTACCGCGACACGGAGAGGCAGCGCCTCTCTGCCTGCCCAGGTATGTGTTTCCCCATCGCAGCAGCAAAGTAACATCACCACCAGAATTATTTTTGTGGCTCTTTAACACCACGGTTAACATCCCGGCCAACTGCTTGGTTAACATGCCACGGTTCAACAGTTCCAAATGCATGCCCATATACTATATAAAAGTCAAAAAGTCAAACGCTGGTCCCATTTGTTTAGATGCAAATCAGAGGGAACAACAAACAGCTCTGGCGTTTTTGCAGCACCAAGTGCAGAGTCAGACCTATTAAAAAGACAAGCGCTGGTCCGCTCCTTCCTGCTATCTTGATCCATTTCAGTTATGTAAATATATTCAAATGTTCACCCTAAAAATAATTGCAAATGCCGCAAGACCCATTTCAATGCAGTCAGGATATAAGGCCAACTGGAATAATTATGGCTATGCAGACCAAGACAGGCTAATTAGCAGGAAAGATCTGCAGTTTAAAAAGGAGGCTGTGAGCACAGAAGTGCTCTGTTCTTTGCAAAAACGGCTTACAGTGAGCGGTTCCCACCGCGATGCTCCCAGTAGCTCCGCTCCGAGGGCGGCGGGAGGGGAACAAAGGGACTCACTCATTTTGCTGTACGAAGCCAGGGGCTGGCTGGGAGCCTGCGGTACCGGCCCCGCTCCGGCAGCACCCGGGGGATCCCCGGGGATGATCCCGCCTGCCCGGCCAGGGCAGACCCAGCCCCCACTGCTGCCCACCCGACGCTGCCAGCATGGAAAGGCACGGGACGGGCAGAGACGCAGGTGCCAATGGCTGCTGGGGCGAGCACGGCTTCTCCTGCTCTGCTCCGGGCTGAAGCAGAACTAACACCTCCAGTGGGATTAGTCTGGGGTACCCGGGCAGGCTCAACAACCACCCACGAGTGTGCTCAGCACCGGGCTGCTGAGCAACTGTGAACGATCCCAGATTATTTTCAACTCTTTTGTGCAATTCCCCGCTAAGAATTTCACAAAATTTATGGGGCTTATTAGTCTATGAGGAAAGAGGGATAGATAATTTCCTCCGCCGCAGATATTCTGGTAGAAAATATCATGGCATAATTAGGCGGCACGGCTGTCTGATCAGAGATGACCTAGTCCTTCAGACGCCCGAGCTGGCTCCGAGAGCTTTCCACTCCAGCAGGAATTAGGGAGCTCTCAAGGGCTTCTCTGGCACATCACAGCAGGGACTGAAACCACTGCAGCTGGTGACGGGGAGTGGAAATCAAAGTGCCAGCAGCTGGCCCCAGCCTGAAGCCCCCGAGTGCAGCTCTGACACCTCAGGACAGTGACAGGCTGTGACCCACAGCCAGGGGCTCTGTCCCCGACTGCGATCAGGGCAAGGCTGGTACTGAGAGCAGAGAGTGTAGGGGAGGATGGGAGCTGGTGGGGAAGTGACAGCAGAGCAGCGACAAACAAGGACAGAAGAGGTCCTACATGCAGAAAGCCTTCCTTACTTTGCATGCTGATTGGACATTAGCATAAACAAGGCTTAAACTATTTCTGGTCAGCTTGCGAAGGCAATACAGTATTAACGGGGCATCAGTGGCTGTGTGGACAGGCATATGAAATATTCACCAGTCTGCACCCAGCATCACAGGGGAATCAACTGCTCTGGCACCCGTATGTGCTTACCTTCCCCCGGTAAGTTCATCTTGCTGATAGCCGAGCTTCATGCTGAAACACAGCTGGCCGCGAGAACACCTAATGGGGAAGAAAAGCCACAAAGTCAGTTTATTTGTCGCAGACATCTGCACGCGCGGTGGGGAGTGGTGCTCTCCTCCTCAGCACCTTCTCCTGCCACACACAACCCCTCCTGCCCACAGCCTCTCTCCGAGCCCTGGGGAGAGGTGGTCCCAGTGGAGCTGGTGGTCCCAGCTCCCGGTCGCCCGCCCCGAGGCACTGGCGTTGCTCCACCGCGGTGGCATTCGCAGGGCTGAGCCAGAGAAGAAACCAAGGGAAGCAGGAAGGCGGCTGCTCTTTTAGGGAATGAAGCCTCCTGGAAGGGAGAAGCCTCCTGGGGACAGGAGCAGCTGGGATGTTTCAAACCCAGGGGACGACAGTCCGAACGTGGCACGCTGCCATCGCACACAAGCGACCGGCGCAACAGCCTGTCCCAGAGGAAGCAGCTCCAGGCTTGCCTGCTGCAGGCTTGGGTACAAACGCTGAAATCAGGCAAAGGTCAGTCCCTCAACCAGTAACAGCGAAGGGAGATGGGGCCCAACGGACTGCCCAGCTCTAGCAGGTCACGGCGTTGCCAACCTCTGCGCTCAGAGCTGCCCACGCTGCGGGACCTCCCCGGCTCCAGCCCCAGGAGCAAAGTTCCCTCCAGCCTCACCGCCCGCCCAGGCAGCAGCGTTGGCCCCTCAAGGCACGCAAACCCCACCAGGCAGGGAACCAAAACCCCTACGTCGACCCAAACACCAGGTTTCCCACAAGGACATGACGCTTGCACCCACGAGCTCTGCATCCATCCCGAGGAGCTCAGCGGCTGCCCGCGCCGCCTCGGCTGAGTCTGTCCTTGAAGCACAGAGCATCCCGGTGATGTTTTTGAGAACATTTCAAGTACGGACACTAATTGTTATTCCAGCCACCCAAGAGTCTCCACCTCTCCTGCCCAGCTGCCGTCAAACATCACGCGGCTCCTCCACTTTAGCACTAATTAGAAATCAGAGGGAAACTCCACCCAGCATGAACTTTGCGAGAACTCATCCGCACTGCACCCATCGCCCTCCTTCCCCGCCAAGCTTTCTGCTCGACCCTGGCCTGGCTTCCATCCACCACGGGATTTCAGGTCCGGACAAGGCTGCGGGTCGGCGAAGCAGCAGCCGCATCCCCGGATGCGCTTCTGCAGTGCCACAACGGTCTGGTGCACGGAGCGGCAGCGGTTTAACAGCCCAGCCCCGAGACACCCTGCTCCGGAAACAGCTCCCGCTCTTGCCCGTGCACACACAGACACACACACACGCTTGCAGACTTCCTTCCTGATGCCTCCCAGCGCAGCCCAGGGCCGTGCAGCGGCACCGCGGCCAACCGAGCACCGACCCACTGCAGCCTCCACGTCCTCCTCCTGCTGCTGTCGTGACAGGGACAAACCACCACCGCTGCCGGAGAGCAGCCCCTCGTGCCAGCACGGCAGGAGCGAGGCAGCCGTGCACCAGCCCCGGTGATGAAGCAATGTCTCAAGTCCATTTTTTAAAGCAGCAAAGTGTTACAAACAAACAACAAAACCAGTTTCCACGAGAAGCTCCGTATGATCCAAAAATGCGTTTTTCTTTAAACCATTCCCAGAAATGACTGCTATTAACTGCAAGCTCCCCAAAAGACATAGGTGTGGCCTGGAAAATTTTAGCTCAAATCATTGGTGCTTAATAAAAGGATGAGGAACTGCAGACGTCATTGTGGCAGAACATCAGCAAAAGCTGTGGTCAGCAAGAAATACCCTAATATATCTAGCTCGCATCTTTACAAATCAGCAAAATTTAATTACTGAATTGAAAGTCTCCAGTTAATTCACATGCTGCATGCAACACAAAAATAAACACAGCTTGCCTGAGGGTGACTGCTGCCGTCCCAAAGTCCCAACCTGAGCTCAGAGGCGCCCAGAAGCGCTGTCACCACGAAGCCAGTGCTTCTCTGGATCTCTCCTGGTGCCAACTCATTTCAAAACACTCGAGGACTCGGAGGCAGGATAGAAGTGCTCACAGCAAACAGGCGGGGGGTCAAACGAGCCCCGGGAAAGCTGGGAAGAGCCGGCGGGGGCTGAGGGTGAGGAGTGGGAAGTGCTGGGCTGCTGGCACGCAGACGCACGGGGTGTTTCTTCATCTGTTTCAAAGCAGCCCCCGTGAAAGCTGCTCCCCAAATTTTAAAGCATTCACCGAGAGGTCGACGAGCAGCCCCGGAAAGCAGCAAGCGCGGCGCCAGCACCAGATCTCCACTGGCAGCTGCATGCCCGCGGGGGCGGCCGAGGGGACGGCCGAGGTTCAGCCAAGGGCAGCGTCAGCCCCGTTGCACAACCCTGCGGCTCGTGCTCGCCCAGGATCGGTGGCCGCGGGGCCGCCGGCCTGTGGGAGTGAGGTCCGACCTACGCTGCGGTTTGCTGCCCACCCCGAGCCATCCTGCAGCCGCTCGCAGCAGAACAGGAGCTCTGTACAACGCTCTGCTGGAGGTGAGCAATGGCCTGAGGCTCCGGGCGGCGAGAGAAGAGCCCACTTTTCCACGCATGAAATGAAGCTGTTGAACAAGAGGAGAGCCCGCTTCTGTGTGCATGAGATTAAGCCGTTGAACAGTACCCACGGCACTCAAAAAAAAAAAAAAAAAAAATAAACCAACCAAAAAGTTGCTTTCAGGCCACCAAGTGGTGAGAACAGCAACATCCATGGCACAACAGTTTTTGCTTATTAAAGCTAAGAGGCATTGCAGGCCACAAACCCAGGCGCATTTACAGGAATCAGAAGCCAAGCCCTGTAAAAATGCATGGGTCTGAGAGCACTGCGGGGTT